CAGAAGTTCTTCAATTGTTAGCAGCTCCAACTTTGGAAGATACAGTTTTATTGCATGGTAAATAACTATATATCATAAAATAATACAAAAATATAAAAACAAAAAAAAATAAAATAAACAAAAATAAAAAAATATGAAAACAAAAATATACGTGTTATTTACTTAAACAATATGTCAATATTATTTAGTTATTACGCTATTATGTTACTTTCGTATTTTTTCCCGTAGAATCGAGTAGCGTAATCAGTTTTATTCTACAGTTATTATTTAGTTATTTGTTTATAACAATTCATTGCAACATTGATTTTTGCAACTTCCTCTTTACGAGAAAAATGACTCCTCATGCTACAGTTCTATTTCCAATTATCAGTTTTTGGCTAACCTTCCTGGTTCAGCCATAATTAATTTTGGCCACTTTTCGGGGCTTTCGGCACACTGTGCGCCGAGTGGGAGCGTCGTTCACCCGTCGCAATCCGCGACGGAAGAGGCGGCGCTCCCCAGGGAGGGAAGTGGGTCCGAGGTGGCGCCGGCCGAGGAGGAGAGGCCACCGGCTCGCCGGAGGCCTCCTCCTTGGCCACCTCGGGCTCGACTTCGACGCAGCAATAGGGGGTGGGTGAGAGGGAATGAACCCTCTCACCCACCAGTGGCGTCGGTAATGGTAGGATGAAAGGGGAGTGGGGCCCAGTTGGGGCTGGGCCTCACTCCCCTGCTCCCCCCTACATACCCAGTAGGTAGGGAGGAGGAGGCTGAGGAGAGAGGGTGGGTGCTCCTCTCTCCTAAATTAAACCGGAAGGCTAACCTGGTCGGATAACCGGCCAGGGCACCGCGCCCTAAACTCCCAGTTAGGGAGGGGCGCGGTACTTGGGCGTGGGGCTCCAGGAGAGCCCTGGAGCCGGGGTGTCGGGGAGAGAATGCAGGCGTAGTTCCTCTGATTCCCCTTACTTCGGTCCGAGCGGTAGGCACCCCGCAGGGGTATTAGTCGGTAAGAGTCCGACATAACTCCCGACCCTCCCAAGGGTCGGGGGTATCCATAATAGATTTCCCCTGCGTGACCAAAAAAAGATAGCTACATAGAGTCCTTTGTATTCGGAGACCTAAAATTTTATATCTTTATGTCGTCCGTACTCCCCAAGGTAAAACCCACGAAGTTTGCAAAGTAAAGGAGACAACCTGGAATTTTGAAACTTCGAGATATATTAATTTTAGCAGTATAAAACATTTATTAATCATCAATAAAATACCTGTCGATGAAAACGAGGAGGAGGAGGAGGAGGCTGCGAGGAAAACTTCGATAAATCTACATTTTAGAGCGATTCAACGTACCGCGTTTCACGATATTGTATTAGGTAAATCGGAAAGGGGCCGCCCTGATCGCCTCGGGATCGTCACCGTCCGCGGAGAGAGGGGGGCTACAGGCTTAAAGCCTGCCTCTCCCGCGCGACGGTAAGGGAGGGAAAGAGGAGTGGGTGTCCCGGTTGGGGATGAGCTCCACTCCCCCCTCCCCTCCCGACATCGAGGGGGCTAAGAGAGGGAAGGGTGCGGCCTTTGAGCGAGGAGCTCCATCAGAGCCTCAGGGCTGTGGTGTCGGGGAAGGAATGTTGGCTCAGTTCCCTCGACTCCTCCACTCCGGTCCGCCTGGTAGGCACCCCGGGGGGGTTCTAGCCGGTAAGAGACCAGCATAACCCCGCCGCCCTCCCAAGGGGGCGGAGTATCCATGAGAATTTCCTCCCTGTTAACAAAAAAGAAATAAAGAAAAGGTAAATCGGAAAGTTCCGTCCATCTAGCGGCAAGTAGCTTTTTTTTTTTTTTAATAACGCAGGGGAAACCCATCATGGGTACCCTTCACTCCCTGGGAGGGGTGGAGGGTTATGTGAGACTCTTACTCACTAAAACCCTTGCGAAGTGTCTACTAGTCGGACCGAGATGGGGGGAGTCGGGGGAACTGCGCCAACATTCCCTCCCCGACACCCCGGCCTCAGGGCTCGTTCTCGAGCCCCACGCCCAAATGCCGCGCCCCCTTCTCCTTGGAGAAAAAGGTTCAGGGCGCGGCGCCCCGGTCGGCTAGACCGACCGGGTTGGCCTTCCGGTGACTATTACGGGAGGGGGGGAACACCTACCCCACCTCCCCGCCCCCACCCACAGAGTTCTCACTCCGGAAGGGGCGGAGGAGCGAGGCCCTTTTCCAGAGGGCCTGGCACCTCCCTGTCCTAACCCATACCGACGCGCGAGGAAGTGCAGGAGGAGGTCATTCACCTCCCTCCCCGCGTCCCTCCCCCGCGCGTCCGAAGTCGGCCCCGAGGCGGCCGGAGGGAGCGGCAAATAGCTATAGCCAGAACTGTCGTTAACCTCTAATGTCTAAACGAAGCTTAATGGTTTTGACATCTGTCAATAACATTCAGTACATAAAGGTATACGTTTGTATCAATAACATTGTTTTTCACTACATCGAAAATGTCGAAATTTGAGCCAAATAAGCGTCATTTGCGCGAAGTGTTAATCTTTTGCTTCAATTGGAAGAAAACTGCAGCTGAAGCTCATCGCATGCTTGTAAAAGTTTATGGTGATAATGCTGCTTCCGATAAAACATGCAGAGAATGGTTTCGATGCTTTAATCCTTTCGTTACGGGTACCGATTATAGTCGGCGTCCGCGCGACGAACTGTGTATCGGATGCTGACTATAGTCGACATGTATGCGACGACCTGCGCCGACTCTCGTCGGTAAGAAAGAATCTACTGTACCGGTAAAGTATCTCTTGATTCTATCGACCCATATTGGATTAAATCCTACTAAAAATATATTCTGCACACGAAACAAGTTTCTTCTGTTTTTTTCTACTGGATAGTGGAGTATTTGTACGGTACAAAACGGGACTATAATACAAAACAAGGATTAGAAAGATAGTACAAAATCTCTCTTGAACCGTTATAAGTAATTGGAAAAGAGCGAGAGAAATTGGAAAGATTATTGTCTAATTTTACAGTTTAGAGGTAAATTTTAAGGTTAGAAACATTTATTTAAAAATTTTGTTTGAAGTTTTGTTAAAAATTTGTTTTATAAAATATTTTTTGCGCCCTTGTTAGAATGTTACGGCGGAGTTCAAACAGAATTCTATTTTTGAATGGATTGACTGATTCAGAGAATAATTTCGAGAATAAAAACGAAAATAATTTCATTCTACACAGAAAAAGAAGGAATATATGTAATACCTCAGAATCAGTAGCAGAGAAGGATGAAGAAGACAATGACGACTACTGCGACTCATGAACGTCAAAAACTTTCATCCCTAAGATACATCAATTTACGCCAGAAAATACAGGAATTATACCAAATATTAGCAGATCGGCAAAAATCATTGATTACTTTCAACTCTTCGTTTCAGAAGAGTTCGTACAATTTATCGTAAATGAAACAAATGAGTATTGGTCCAAATAAAATAACAATAATATGAAGGATGTAGAAGGAACAATATTATCCGAATTGTTCTCTTTTTTTGCTGTGTCATTTCTAATGACACGCAACAAGAAGTTGTCCTTAGTGGAACACGGGAGTGTAGATAAACTCCTGCGTAGTGATATTTTCGGAGAAATTATGGCTAGAGACCGATATTTTAAATTGTTAGCGATGCTACATTTCAGCCATGATCGCAAATCTACCAATGATCAGTTACATAAAATAAGAAACGTCGTTGATATGCTCCGAAAAGCATTTAGCCAATCATTCTATCCTTACCAACAGTTATGCATTGACGAAAGTTTGCTTTTATATAAAGGGCGGCTATCGTTCAAACAATACATTCCTTCGAAAAGAAGTAAATTTGGGATTAAATCGTTTATTCTTAGTGATTGCCGAATAGGATTTGTACAGGATATTATTGTGTATGCCGGGTTATCGACTATGGTCAATAGCGAAAATAAGGCAATTGAAAACTCGGGAGCAATAATAGAATCACTTATGAAGCCCTACCTAGGAAAAGGCCATACCCTTTTTGTAGATAACTGGTATTCGAGTCCAGCCTTGTTCAGTTTATTATATAATAATTGTACAAATGCATGCGGGACCGTAAGGAAAAAGCGAAAAGGAATGCCAAAGATTGATGATAGACTAAGAAAAGGAGAGGCATCTTTCCGTTCATCTAAAAATTTATAAAGTGGGTGGACAAAAAGGAAGTATACATGCTTTCTACCATGCATACATCAGAATTTGCAACGGTTTTTAGGCATGAAGAAAAAAAAATTATTCAAAAACCTCTATGCATAGTAGATTACAATAATGGTGCAGTCCCATGGATGCGGAACATGCAGAATGCGGAATTGGCGGAACGCTCGTTATTGGTTGAATTTATTTTACGTACGTTCCGCCGATTTCTTTCCGCAAGTTTTCATTTTATCCGCAACAACTCTGCGGATTACGGAGATTCGTGAGTGTGTGGTTCATCATTCAGAAGAAGAAGAAGAAGAAGTAAATGTATGGTTACAAAGAAGGAAGAAAAATGCCGAATATGCAGCAGAAATCCGTAAGAATATTATTAAAAACTGAATTTTAAATAAGGTAATTATACATAATATCCCCCTCACCTCCGATATCGACGAAAAAATATTTAATCGACGCGTTTTTGCGATATTCTGTATAATTACCTTAAATAAATATAATTTTAAAAATTAAGAATTTTATATTAATACTATATTTTATCGAATAACTTTATAAAATATGAGTTTCTATTAGGAATTTGATGTTATGATTGTTTATTAATGTTGTTACAGGAAAAAAAATGTGGATATTGCGGATATATCCTTCCAAAAAACTTTGAATTACTAAATCATCCTTGTTTCCATCCATTTTGTGAGGACATTCATCAGTTAAAAATAGATGAAAATTTAATAGTTACTGTCGGTAAGTAAAATTTTAGTAATTGAAGCATGTTCTTTGGCAAGAAAAACATGTCATTGATTATGCACTGATAAATTATATTGTCTGTTAATAGTACTTAGTGGACTGAGTTTTGTTTACCAATGTTATTATTGTTTCTCTTATGTACAGTGCCTCGCCCAGAACAGTTTGATGAATTGAATAATGCAGAAAATAATGACATTCTTGAAGCAGTTGACATCGATGAACAGATAATAAATCTTATATCCCAGAAGCGAGCATTATTCGACCATTGGATACCAGCAAGTGAAAGAAGCACTTTAAAAAAAACTGTACTGTGGCAAGAAATATGCAATTCATTGGGAGGTTAGTATGTTTATTTCTTTTTTGACATGCATAATGATTGTACAAGTTCCATAAAACCTTTTAGGTTATTATGTGTGTTTACAGGGACATTGAGCATAATCGAAATTAAAAAAAGGTGGCGATATCTTCGTGATTGCTTCATAAAGGCAAAAAAGAAAAAACGTACTTATATTCCAAGTGGGTTTGCTGCTGAAGCATTGAGTACGAAAAGAAGTTCCTTCAGATTCTACGAACAAATGAAGTTTTTGGATGATGTTTTTGAAAAATCTCCGTAAGTTTAATAATGTGTAATATTAAAAAAGTCATTATATTTAGAGAAACACTTCAAACTTGATTTTGTTATTTAGTCCTTTCACTTTAAATTGTTAAAATTAATATTTATGCAATAAGAACTTAGGTAGCAGGATGACATCAAATAATGTATTAATAACATCTCTGGATATCACCTTGTTATCTAAGATTTCTTTCCTTATCTGGAGTCGACTATTAAAAATTTGTATGTGTCAAAGTTCATGATTCTTTTATATCGTATTGCAGAGAAAACTTTAAATCATTTGCCATTGGAAATTATTTTGTAAGAATTTTATATTCTATAAGCTGCTCATAACCAATTGTATCTTAGTGAAGAATTCCTATAACGTGGATATTAATATAAAGAATTTTACACGTCAAAGAGGTCTAAATAACAAGTTGATAACGAACAATAAATAAATAACAAGTAACAACAAAGAAAAATTGAAATTATTATCCTTCTTTGAAGTTCTTGATTATTCTTTGTTAATATCTGACTTGATATTAAATTCTGTTTTTCTTTATAGGACATGTAGTAGTTTGCCATCAGATGCACAAAATGAAGAGAGTACAAGACAGATGCAAAGGTGAAAATATTACAGTTGAAGTAAATGAGTCTCCAATGTTAGTACCTCAATCAACATGCAGCTATGTATCAAACTCATCATTTCTAATGTGTTCTACAGAAAGTGACGATTGCAGTACAAGTAAAAGTATGTCTAATATTAATATTCAGTTTACTAGAAATTTTATGAAATTTATCTCATGTTGAAAATCAATATTTCAGAAAGGAAACTCAACAAATCAAACAAAATGAACGAAGAGTTTCATGAAGCCGTTATTGCTACATTACGAGATAATAAGCAACCTGATGTAGTTGATGGGTGTTTACTCTTACTAGGTGAAGGGTTAAGAAAAATACCTTATAGAGAATGAGTAAAACTAGAAATGAAATTCCTTGCCATGCTCACAGAAGAACAAGATAAATTAAACGATCTGCCGACATAAAATATATAAACTTTTAATATTACATTATATTACTTTCTGTTGATTATTTTATCTTTATTCATTATTTATCTATTTTATTTTTCTTTATATTAACATATTAAATATTAGTGTTTCTGTTTTATTATATTATATTGTATTTTCCTGTGTTTGAAAATATTAACATATCAATTATTAGTGTTTTCGTTTCATTATATTATGTTGTATTTTCCTGCGTTTGAAAATATAGACAAACATGTGTATTAGCATAAAAATCCTTTAACAATGTAGATATTATGATAAATTTATTTCCTACTTACACTTTTTGTTTAGTAATATAAAATAATAATATTTTTGAATAAAATATATTTTATATTATTATATACACAAGACATATATATAATTCTTATAAATAAGTTACTTAAAGACAAATTAAAAATCGTTTTGTAACGCTTTTTCCCATTGATAACATAACGCACCAGTTCCTTGAAAATATGTGGAATATGCTTCTTAGAGATGTGCGAATCAAGAATTTTTATGTCGAATCGAATCGAATCGAATCTCATTTTTTTAAATTCGAATTCGAATCGAATCGAATCTATGAAATTTCATTCGAATTCGAATCGAATCGAATGAAATCGAATCGAATCATTAAAAAATTTAACATGACTATTAAACATGCAAATAATGATGGAAGATTTTAATACGAAAGGGAATATTGATAATGTAACATAATCTTAAAGTAAAATATGTATTTAAATAAATTTAAATTAAGTTATTAATTATAAGTTAAATTAATTATAAATCTAAGAAATACGTATTAATGCTTTAAAATAAAATGAAATCTTATTTATTAATCTTAATTATTACAGTAGGTCTATAGTACATGTCAAACAATATAATATCAATATAATGTCAATAAATATAAAACAAACTAAACATCAACATATCCCTCTATTAGCTTCCATTCTTGAGTTGTAAGATTATTAATGCCTGCTTTAATGTGTTCGCTGATAATTGCAGGTTTTTGCTCCACAAATCTTTCCAGCATCAAAAATTCACTATCCCAGCGCGTACAAACCATTTGGATCAAATCATGCTTCGGGATTTTGTGCTCATATTGAAAATGTTCAAGTGATTCTCTTGCAGATTTACTCCTATTGTAACGACTACCCACTATACTGGATACTTTTTCTATGACACCATTGGCATTCATTTCTTTCCTTGTATCACTGATTGTTAATTGTAGAGTATGATTATAACAAAGAATATGTTCCCAGGATTTTTTCGTAATAGCTTCAGCCATGTCAAAATCATCATTTAAATCATCATTTAAGTTGCATACAGGATCATTACTAAGTGCTTTCACCATATTAGTTCCATTATCAGAAACTATATACTTCTTTATCTTTTCATCATAGATCTAATTCAAAAATTATATCTTCCATCTTTTTACAAATAGCCGCAGCATCATGTTTACCAGGAAATGGCTGACAATCTATTGTCATGTACTGCATGACAAAATCTTCGTTGAGAAATTGTAACGTGAAGGCTATATATGAATCGCCAGATCTAGAAGTCCATAAATCAGTTGTCATGCATATTGCACGAAGAGTGTCTTTTGCAAAATGTATTATTTTAAGCATTCGATCTTTTAATTCTTTATATATTTTTGGTATCACTGATCTCGAAAATGTTGTGCGGCAGGGGACAACATATTTTGGCTCCAGAAGAAATATTAAATCCTTGAAAGCTGGTTCCTCGACGATATTATATGCATGTAAACCCTTAGAAATAAATATAGCTATAGCTTTAGTTATATCTTGTGCTTTTTTGCTCGAAGGATCGTAAGCCATTGTGCGATCTAAACTTTTTTTTAGGGACATCTGCCTATTAGATTTTTCTTTTAATTTATTCTTTGTTACAGTTTTACTTTCTTTAAGCTGTCTTAATCTTAAATATTCATTGTATGAACTAACATGTCTCTTCAAATGATTTTGAAGAGTCGTTGTTGTACCAGTTGGAATACTTCTGACAATCTTGCAAATATTACAAGTAGCTTTATACTGGCTTTCTTCCATTTTAATAAAAAAATGCCAAATTAATGCATGAGGTGCATTGATCTTTGCCATATCAGTTGCACTAACAGTTTCTTGAATATCAAAATTATTATTACTTTCATTATCCTTCTCTTTAGTATCTTGATTTTCCTGTCCAATCACAAAATTGATGATTTAGGTTATTTTAGTTATAAAAAAGAAATCTTATCTCGTATTATTTTCATCAATTTCTCTATACATTACTTACCATTTTCTTTTTTTTGCAAGCTCTAGTACTGTCTTGATGCATATTCAAATTCAACATATCTGAATTACTATCTGAGCTATCGAGATTTAAATCTGAATTATTCTCCATAACTAAAAATTGTCTAAAATAATTTATAATAATCATGCATGTGAAATCAAAGCGTGAAAGATATAAATTCACATAAACAATTTATGTTTAAAGTTAACCTAACCTAACATAATTGTATGTGTACAACTAACGTTGTGTATGTACAATTAGCGCCGTATACAATTAGCGCCACGTACAACTAGCGCCATGTATAACTAGCGACGTATACAACTAGCGCTTTGTATAACTAGCACTGTATACAGTCGCGGATTAAGGGTTCAAACATACAAGACCAGATGGCCTGTTTTATAGTTGAAGCGCGCAAACGCTAATGTATTTGATTCGTATTCATATCTTCGCGATTAGAAATTTTCGAATTATTCGGATTCGAATCATAAGGATTCGGATTCGAATTGAATCGAATTACATTAGATTCGATTCGATTCGATTCGAATTCGAATAGTTTGCACATCTCTAATGCTTCTCTCAATGCAATAGCATTATTATTGTTTCAGTTTCTGCCAGGGTTGGGAAAGTTACTTTTTAAAAGTAACTCGTTACCGTTACCATTACTTTCGGTAAAAAGTAACTCGTTACCGTTACTCATTATTGATCTTAAAAAATAACGCGTTACCGTTACTTGAAAGTAACGATATTTTATTTCGTTACTTTCCGTTACTTTTTTTTGTTGTAAATCCAAGATTATAAGAAAGATGCTAAGACAAGATATAAATCAGACATAAGACGATTAGAAATATATATATATATATATTTAAATATTTTTATTGTTTTATGTTATTAAGTATTGTATTTAATGAAAAGTTTTTTAATTAGTGGATATAAATTTAATATTTGGACATTAGTGCCTGTTGACTTTAAAAATCTTTGCCATTCATCATAGGCAGATTTCTCATTTGATGTTTGCTATTTAAAATTTAAAAAGTCATCGTTATTATTGTGCTTATCAGACATCAAAAAATTTTTAATTGAAGGAATTCCTTATAAATCTTCTAAATACGTTTGCGCAAGTTTTCACTTATCTTCAGCTAACCAACTCAATTTGGGATGCAAACAGCTGGCAATTATCAATTCTTCTTTTTCGAATGTACAAAACCTAAAGTTAAATCAATAAAATTAAATATGAACATATTGATTTTTCTTTTTGATCAGATGAATGTTGTTTGATGAACATATGTATTAACCAAATTACACCAACTTACCTTTCTTTTAAACCTTTCTGTATAGCTAAGGCCAATGGATGACAATATGTGAGTCCATCTTTATTGGTTCTCATTAAACTCAGCATAAAACAAAAATGCATAGAAATTAAATACAATTAAGTTTAATTTTATAAAAATTAAAAAGTAACGATTAAAGTAACGGACGTTTTGTTACTCGTTACAAAAAAAATGTATCGCCGTTACTTTTTCGTTACTGACACCAAAAAGTAACGGTGTTACCTAATCGTTACTCAAAAAAGTAACGATACCAGTAACGGCGTTACAAATAACGCGTTACTTCTCAACCCTGGTTTTTGCAATGTAGTATATTGAGAACTGCATGACTTATACGCTCATTTTCTAGAGTCATATGTAAATACGATTTTTTGCCAGTTAACTGCACTTCATTTTTAATAAAATTGTGCAGTGCTATTGTTGCTTGTATAATTTTGCGTACATTGTTAACATTCGCGATGATTGGTCCTCGATATATTCTCCATCGAGCCACTAATTTGCCGAAAGCGTTTTCCACAACTCTTCTTGCACGGCTAAGTCTATAATTAAAAACTTTTTTCCCAATATCGAGTTTTCCACTTCGCGGATATGGTCTCATCATGTCGATAATGTATGTCGATAATGGGAAAGCTTCATCCGCTACTAGTACATATGACAATTCTGGTCTGTCATTTTCAATTTATCTTGGGTTTGGCAGTTTGAATGAATTAGCTTCAAAGNTCTTTTCAATCATTAAATAACTTAATAATCATTGCGATTTTGCAAAATGGTACTTGACTTTTCTTCTCAGTTTGATCTGATTAATCTTCACAATTATTCGTTTCCAAAAGACATCCTATATATTATATGTTGTATAATCCATACGAACCTTAATGCAACATTCGTATTTCAAATATTATTTTATTATTTTTATTTCAACTCTTGATTAATCTTAATCTGAATATATAATAATTAGTAAAAAAGTAACACTATCGTAGCAAAATTTAACATCAACGTAAAAAAACGTTAAGATAAAAAGGAAGTAGAAGGAATTGAAAGAAAGATAGCAGAAGTATTAAAAAATATAATGCACATGTATAAATTTAACTGTTGAGACAGCGAGCCGAATAAATCTAAGAGTCAAGTAACTCGATTATCAGAAGATGCTTTTGATCAGAGGCTACATTGTTTATCCTACATACCTGGAAAACCGGAAAGTAGAGCATACTTTAGTCACGTTATCGTGCTTTCTTTATGTTGCGTGATAAATCTACCGCATCTCCCAAAGACGGTAGAAAAGGATATAAGTAAGTCATATGTTAAATTGAGATTAGATTCAAATTCAGAAATTCGATTCGATCAGATCTGATCCGACGGTACTCTCAACCAGTTTCTTCTAATAAGCTCGGTGCTGATCGACAACATAGAATCTCGTTGATCTCATCGTACCGTGCGCATAGCTCGTGCATTTGACGGCACCGGTTAATGATTTCTTTTCAGTTTTTGTCGTCTTGTTGCTGATAAGTGTAAATGTCTGTGATCACTGTTCGACAGTAAAGTAAACGCGAGGCGCGGTGTTTGGTGCGAAGTGCAACTGTTATTGTTAATCATCTCCAGCGTCCCAATTTGCTTCCGAGGAGGAACTCGCGGATGGCGCCTTCAGGATCTGACAACCTCCAACTCTATCGTTCGCGCCAGCACAGTAGTGGAAACGACTGACCGAGCACCGTTGCTGACTTTGATCATAATCGAAGAACGGTCGCGATCGCGCACGCTTCTTGAACGCTCATCAAATTGGAATGTTATTCCCGGACTTTGAAGAGTCATCCGATATCAAGAGTTCGTGTTTGGCATTGCGTTTATTGATAGACAATAAATTGTGCATGATTAATCATACCATTACTGCGTGTCGATTTTTTATCAATATTGTGATCGTTTCGTGCTCCAAGCGGAGCGGACCCGGCAAGTCCTCTCGCTCTGATCGACATTACACTGCAATACGTACATTTTATGCTAATTCGATGACAAGATGTTTCGCTTTTACTGTGATCGGTTCTTCTAATCAATGATTAGTTATACTGTGATGCATCTGAGGTTTGTTAGTATTTTCAAATTCGAAGCTAATACTTTATCTAGCTGTAAAGTGTTTTGCTAAAGTTGTACTTTATCTATAGCAGAGCTAGACACGATCTGCACATTTCAGATGAAATTCAGTAGGTGACGCCTATCGTCCTCCTCGCACCCCTCCGCGCTCAGCGGCCGGGGCGACGATCGCGGTGCACTCAGGCCCGTCGCTGTACGAGGTATGGCTATAAAATAACGAGACTATTACTGTGTTACGTCCTGCGGACTCCGCGTACTTTGAATTCGTTGTCAAGTAGGGCGGATTGCATTTTATATTATACGACCAAATGTTCATGTTCCGCGACCCTCCGAGAACAGTGACGTCACACACACAGATTTCTCTTTTTTTCTCTCTGCTTTAATCACCGGAGTTTCCTCTATTTCCGTCGGAAAAAATCCGCTGAGTTATTTTAGCCATATATCTCCTCTTCAAATAACCTTGAATAACTTTCTGATCGGAACAACAATTTTCTTTTTTAAGACCGACCAGACAATCTTTCATGCTGTTATATGATATTACTAACCTTTGATCTTTGGAAACTCATGCGTTTCCCTCATGCGAACAGGTATTTTTTATTTCTCAATCCAATGATCATTTCTGGAGAATTGCGGAAAATATAATTTTTTGCGATTACAGCGCCATCTATTACAAATAAAAAAAAAAGTTTCGGACAAAATTTACGTATTTTGTGGCGTAGAATCCGTATCTGCAATAAAAAATGGGGATTTCCATTTAAGATTTCAAAGTTGCCCCCAACCCCCACCTCCAGGGGGTGGGGTGGGAGGTCGAGTTTGGTATCATTGGATGTCCCCCTTCGAGACTAACAACTTTCATTAACCACTTTTTTTTATCCAATGCATAGTTCTCGAGATATTTCAATGTCTTCAGATAAATCGTGCACCATGTATATATATATGTATTAAACACGTAAACATATATATTTTAAAGTGATTATTAAACGAGGAAACAATTTTAATGATAATATGACGCCGCAGCTGATTTCTTATAGAGCGACGGGCTTGAGTGAACAGCCATCGTCGCCCCGGCCGCTGAGCGCGCAGCGATGCGAGGGGGACAGTAGGTCACCTATTGAATTTCGCTCGAAATGTGCAGATCGTGTCCAGCTCTGATCTATAATATTCTTTCCCCATTAATTTATCTAGTTATATCTAATATATCTAGTTATATATAATATATTGTTACGTCCTAGAGGAGGAGCGCAACTTTTCCGTTCGCGGTAAAAGTGAACCTCGTTCGTACACGCGTGTCAGGGAACGGGTCAGGAACCCGTCGGGCCCCTTTACTCGCTCGCTGACGTACGACGAGCGGTCCGTTTTTCGGTCAGGGACGCGAATCCCTTTACGAGGATAGGACCATGAATCGACTGTTCGAAGGTGGGGTGATTTTGAAATTAATTAATGGAAAATTAGATATTTAACAAATTTATTAAAATACAGATGACAAACAAAATGATATAACGGCGCGGTTTAAAATATGACAATTTATGGTTATGCAAATGATGGTATGTGTATGTGTGTCTGTTTGTGTGAGAGGAAAGAAAAAGGAGAGAACAAGGAAAGGGAAGGAATACGAATTAGTAATCAGGTGAAGGGGAACGAGAGCGGCCAAGTGAATTTAGAGGAGTGAGTAGTTCCGAGAAAGAAACTGGGGAATAAGATATCGGAGGGGTAGAAGGAGTGGACGCGCGTGTAGGAAAAGAGGAAGGAGTACCCGGAGGAAAATGAGGTAGAAGATAAAAGGATAGGAACGTAGGATCTGGGTGGTAGTTGGTTCCTAGCGCTATGTTAACTATCGCTCGAAGATAGTGGACCGGAGATGCTAGTTGGTCGGGATCTCTGGTGTAAAAAATCGACTCGAGCGTTCGGAAAATGTTCTTGATAGTTATTCCAATGTTGTGATAATAACCTGCTAAAACCGGATTTCAATAATAGGGGGAATTAATAAAATGGTTATAGGAAGGGTAGATAATAAAGAAAGTAAAACTTACTGCTGGTTCCAAAGCAGAGAGAGAGAGAGAGAGAGAGCAACCACAAGAAAATGTTGCTGATCTGCGTAGGTGTGCAACGCTGGCCCTGTCGCTTTCGGATTTCCAATTCGTCAACGGCGATGTTACACACAACTGTGTCCTCTTTTTAGGCAGCGGATAATAGTTAAACTTCGAGAGAACGTTTAGACCAACTCCACGTCTAAATGCCTGAGTGTAAAAATTAAACAACAAAAGAAAGATCTCTGGATGCCGAACTTGTGGTTCTAACTCAGGTGCTGGTCAGGCGAATAATGTGCTAGCCTTTTCGTTTTTCTTAAAACGTCATCTCGGTTGAGAGGATGGGGTTGTGAAAATTGTGAACTTTGTTGTTAACATTTTCGGAGGTGGGAGTTTAGAATTGAGTCAGGGTCTAAGGGTCTATGTCCATCTATTAGATCTTTGTTATTAACATTTTCGGAGGTGGGAGTTTAGATTTGAGTCAGGGTCTAAAGTTTATTAGAACTTTTCCAGAGACGGGATTTTGGAGTTGCGTTGCATTGTTGTAAAGGATGGAGTATCTATGGCGATAAGAGATTTCGTCATCCCGTTAGGTTTAGTGAGAATTATTGGGTAATATGACGAGACGTGGAAAAGTTGTGAGTTCGTGAGGATGTGACTCAATGGATTTTCCTGACAAACAACTAGAGGACTCTAGTCTAGGAGGAGATAAAGAAAAAAGAGAAATCGCTGTGTAATGATCGGTGATGCCATTGCGTTCGAAGAATCGCGAAACATGTTTATTGAATCTATCGTTTAAAGTGTCAATTCGCTCTATTTATAAAAGATCTAGAATACGCGGAGACGGCAGGACGTAACATCTAGACTCATATCTAGTTTAATCTTTAATATATTAGCAGCAAGGTTGGGAAAGTTACTTTTTAAAAGTAACTCGTTACCGTTACCATTACTTTCGGTAAAAAGTAACTCGTTACCGTTACTCGTTACTGATCTTAAAAAATAACGCGTTACCGTTACTTGAAAGTAACGATATTTTATTTTGTTACTTTCCGTTACTTTCTTTTGTTGTAAATCCAGGTTTATAAGAAAGGTGCTAAGACAAGATATAAATCGGACACAAGACGATTAGAAATATATATATATATATACATATATATATATATGGTATATATATATTTAAATATTTTTATTACTTTATGTTATTAAGTATTGTACTTAATGAAAAGTTTCTTAATTAATGGATATGAATTTAATATTTGGACATTAGTGCCTGTTGACTTTAAAAATCTTTGCCATTCATCATAGGCAGATTTCTCATTTGATGTTTGCTATTTAAAATTAAAGAAGTCATCGTTATTATTGTGCTTATCTGACATCAAAAAATTTTTAATTGAAGAAATTCCTTATAAATCTTCTAAATACGTTTGCGCAAGTTTTCACTTATCTTCAGCTAACCAACTCAATTTGGGATGCAAACAGCTGGCAATCATCAATTCTTCTTTTTCGAGTGTAGTACAAAACCTAAAGTTAAATCAATAAAATTAAATATGAACATATTGATTTTTCTTTTTGATCAGATGAATGTTGTTTGATGAACATATGTATTAACTAAATTACACCAATTTACCTTTCTTTTAAACCTTTCCGTATAGCTACGGCCAATGGATGACAATATGTGAGTCCATCTTTATTGGTTCTCATTAAATTCAGCATAAAACAAAAAATGCATAGAAATTTAATACAATTAAGTTTAATTTTATAAAAATTAAAAAGTAACGATTAAAGTAACGGACGTTTTGTTACTCGTTACAAAAAAATCGCCGTTACTTTTTCGTTACTGACACCAAAAAGTAACGGCGTTACCTAATCGTTACTCAAAAAAGTAACGATATCAGTAACGGCGTTACAAGTAACGCGTTACTTCCCAACCTTGATTAGCAGTTAGTGTTTTTTCAGAGATAAATTTTTTTCATGGTTACGTCATTGTGACTTTATATAAGGCTGCATATAATCTGGTTTTAAATCGCTCCCACAATATTAATAGCACAGTAGCAACATTAGTAGCAACAGTATTCCGTGAACTCTTGACTAAGTTACATCGTAGTGAAAGTGACAAGAAGACAGTTTGCAACACTTAGAAGTTTGACATACGTAAGTTAGTATCAGTTAGTTATTATGTTATTATGTTATGTTTATCAAAAGTATTGTTTTTACGATCGAGATGTCGTCTATCCGAATATTCGTCTCAATATTGACGAGCTGTTTCTCTAGCATTATTATCAGCCACATATTAAATGTCAATAACGTGTCAACTATTTTTAAGGCGAATAATCCGCTTTGTCGATAATGACACAATTAATGAAAGGAAATAAAATTAATTTACTTAGGTAACTAAACGTATCGATTAAATCGTCGCAATAAGAGCCAACTCCAGTAGATTTTAATTTAAAAAACAAACGCCTGGATGACAGACTGGCGACTAATAAAAGTGTTTTGTAGTAGTAGTTTACATTCAAAGAAAGTGCATTGATAGCTCCTTTATTTCGTAAAGTTAAGCTCCGGCGATCCTTCGAATACTTAACACACACACACACACATACAAATGAGTTTAATGCTCGTAAGAATTATAATTTTAAACTCAAATATCTTGGAAACTATTTTAATTATTGATTTTGTAAAAAATTATTAAGATATCAAATACATTAATTTATTTAATTAAATCCAGAAGTACGATAAAAAAATAGTTATCATTTTAAAAAAGTAAAATTGACTTTAATCCGACCTAAAATTATGATTCTTTATTCTTTGAACCTAAATATCTCAAAAATTATTAGTTTTGCAAAAGAATACGAAGATACAAAGAAATATTCAATAGAAATATTCAATAGAATAAAAAGAATGTCCAATCAAAAAATGATAAAAAATAGATGCTGTTATTTGAAAAGGTAAAGTTCATCTTGAAATGATCTTGAACAATCTCAGATAGGAAAATGTTATTATTTTTGTGCTCAGATTGCATTTACATATTGACGTAATATAATTTCAAAAATACATACAGATGTGTGCGTATATGTTGCTCAGATATTAGTCATGTCATGATGTCAGAAAAATATCTTATTTTATATATCTTATCCTATTATTATTTTAAAGTGACATATTTAACCCTTTGAGGCATATTTGAGGTGTATTTTTCAGAAAATCCGAATCACATGAAAATTTACATACGGGGGTTTCTGAGGTTGCCGATGACGAATCCGTTATCGGATTTTCGAAATTCAAGATGGCGGATCCAAGATGGCGGACGCAAAAATGAAAAATCGCGATAATTTCGGTGACATCCGTGATTCGTAATCAACGACCTTGAAAGTTAGCCAAAGTACAATTTCAGCTAATCATAAAAATTTTATGATTCGCCATCTTGGAAAATAAATTTTAGAATTTGGACCTCAGATTCGTAATCTGACGAGCTCAAAAATTAACCAGAGTACAATTTTAGCTGATTTTATGTACATTCTATGATCCGCCATCTTGAAAAATTAATTTTGGGATTTGGACCTCAGATTCGTAATCAGCGACCCAAAAAATCCCCAAATCTTGATTTTGAGCAAAAAATTCATTCATAGTTCGTCAAAAATGATTTTTTTCTGTAAAAATGTGTATTTTTCACATTTTGTTTATTTATCATAAATAGACAACTTATGCAAAACACTTTTCAACCTTTGATGTATATTCCCATATCATATCATAAAGAAGCTAAAAATCGCAAAAAACCCGACAAAAATCCCTCAAATATAAAATATTTCATGAAAATGTGAGAATAAATAGGTGGTAAGTATATTTACTACTATGCCTCAAAGGGTTAATACATGATTTTGTGCTCAAATAAAGGTCAAAGCATTAAATTTTTTTTATGAAAATTGTGTTTTTTACTATTACTATTTTTCCATGAATGTGAAGAGACAATGTGAAATAGAATGTGTTCCAAATATATTTTATTTTACTTTGGTATATGTGAGTAGTAAATAAATAATATCATACAGGACCACATAAAATTAGCTTGTACATAGCAGTTTAATCCTCTAAAAATTACAAAAATTTTTGAGTTTTTTTAATCGAAATACATATCGTTCATTTACTGCAACAATAACCACTCAAAAATAATGATTTTGTCGAAAACGATTATCCGTAAATTTTAGATTATCAGTCCCCAGTTACCAATAAATTTTAGATATCAAAACTACAAAGAAAATTGTTTTTTCTATATTAATAAATAAAAACGACAAAAATTTGAATTATATGATTATTGCAGTAAATAAGCGACATATTATTATTACAGATATCACAGCATCATATTTTGAGAAAGTAAATATTTTGGGAAAGTAAACTTAAACAATAAGTTTATTTTAGACAAAAATGTAAAATGTACTGTTTCTATAATAAAATAAAAGTTGCTAGATTTTTTATATTACTCTTCCACAGTATAAACATGTATAGTAAAGAAATATAAAGCACTATAGAAACAAAAAATTTATAAAATTTTAACAATAACCCAAGATGACATCAAATAACGACGTCTTAATAATGTCCGTAAGGTCAGTAAGACATCATTAAAACATCATCCTGTAACATAATATAAAATTTCTATAATAACGTGAGAATATCAATCTTTAGTTATCAAGTTAATAATATAATTAAAAAATTGATATAAGTAAAGTTTGATATAAAAATAAAAAATTGATTAATTTTCATTAGAATCATCTGAGAAAAGAAGATCACAAGCCTCGTAGTTAACAGAATTGTCAGTCTTCGAACTATTATCTGAATTATCTTATCTTCAATATCATCTTCAATATTATTTGTTGTTCTTGTAGGTACTTTTTCTTTTTAATTATGTTTCACATCAATAGTGTAGCGCTATTTTACTGTTCGAAGTACCTTCATAATCTCACTTTTAAACTCAGCAAGATTTTTTAGTCCTTCAAAAGTCTGGCATTCTTCTGCTGCAACTAAAAAAATGTAAAATCATAGTAAAAGTATTTACAAATATTTAATACTAAGTAGAAAATAAATTTTATTTTGAAATGTAATTAATTAATTCACTTGGATAAATGTAAATGTAAATAATATAAGTCTTATAAATATAACATAACAATATAATTTATAGAAATATAATTCATGAATAAATATTCATTTAATGCTATATAAAACAAAGAAATGAATTGAAATATAATTAAACTTATGAAAAAATACTTTAACAATTTTTGTATTATAAAATAGTATGGAATTAGTTATACGGCACCGAATAAGTAAATTTCGATGTTAACTCATCGGTCATCGTTTCTTTTTGAAAACGATTTAAGGTCTTTCTCAACTTAATACCTCCAATGAATTGTAAAAATTGTTTCTACAAACATATTAGATAGATATTTTATTGACTCCCCTTAGGGTTACAATTCTTTGACCTGCCATTTACACACTACTCTACTTCTTCGCCTCTTACACTACATACGAGAGAGATAGAGAGCGCTCCTCATTCACACCACACTCCTTCACTCTTCTCTTCTCTCCCTCTCTCTCACTCTCCATTCCTTTCCTCTCACACCATGACCTCCGTTTCCGCCGCTCCTTCTATTTCCCTCTCCCTCCCCTTCCTCCCCCTCCCTTCCCCACCATTTTTCTTCCCTCATTCACTCCTCCCTCTTTTCCTCCTCTCCTAGCACTTCCCCCTCCACCTGCTGCCATTCCCTTTCCTCCCCCATCCTGTGCACTTCTGCCATATATGTTTCCATGTTTCCTCTCTCCTCCCACACATCCTACACTTCCTCTTTTCCTCCTCCTCCCAGTATCTTCCTCCTCTCAACTCACACCCTAGCTTAAATCTCGCTATCCTCCTCCATCTTTTCTCTCCCCACCCCATTTTCTGATATCCTGGTATTCTCCTCCCTTTCACCCTTCCATATCCCTCATTGTATCTTGATTTTCTGATCTTTTCCCATCTCTCCTCCTTCTGCCTCCTCCGTTCTCTACTCTTTATCTCTTTCCCCCTTATCTCCTCTCCCTTTTCCCTCCTTTCCTTTATCTTGTCTATTTTCTACCACTTATCCTCAAAGAACCTTCTCCTCTCCTCTTCCCATTTCCCCGCTTCTTTTCCTCTCCCCGCCCTATTTCTCATCTCCCTCCAGCATCTTCTGCTATATCTCCCCCCTTCCCCTCTCCTAATCTCTTCTCATTCCTGCTCTGCTCCTCAATAACTCCTTCTGCACCTTCTCTCTCACCATATACCTTCTCTCTCACCATATGGACTGGCGTCCACCTTTCTACCCCCAGTATCCATCTCAAATATCTTTCTTGCAGCTCTTCTATTTTCGTCCTCTCTCTCTCCATCCCCACACTTGTACCCCATAACTTATCACCGGCCATACCAACTTGTCAAACAACCATATTCTCCTTCCTCAATTTTTTCCAAACCTCCTTTTTCCTATCCCCCATACTTGGTCCATCATCTTCGCTCCCTTCTTTACCCTATCTCTCACCTGCGCCTCTTGCCCCCCATTCCTCATCACCACATATCCTAAGTATTTATATTCCTTCACTTCCTCTATTCTCTTCCCCTTCCATCTCCAATCCACCTTCCTCCATCTCCCTCCACTCCTTCTGCATCTCATTACTTTCGTTTTCTCTATGTTCACTTCCAAACCCTTCCTTTCTACATACCCCTCTAGCCTCCCTATCATCCTCTTCATCCCCTTCTGCCAGTATCGCCAAGTCGTCTGCATATGCCAACGTATATACTTTTTCTTCCCCTAACCTTATTCCCTCTCATCCTCCCTTCTCCAATTCCTCATCTATATCCGCTATTAACAGTGTGAATAGCATCGAACTTAATGGGCACCCCTGCCTCATCCCCCTCCCTGTCCAAACATTTTCTCCCTTCCTCCCCCTTACTCTCACTCTACTCCTCGTCTCCCCCAAAACCTCACATCTTCTTATCAACCCCTCCCTTACTCCCCTCATTTCTCTCCTTAATATCTCCCTATTCACTGTATCAAATGCCGCCTTGAGGTCTACAAACAGTATTACCATTTTCTTCTCCTTCCTCTCCACCTGTCTAATTATCAAATAGTTCAATGCGTACACATTGTCTATTGTTCCCCTTCCCCTTCTAAATCCCGCCTGACTCTCTGGTAACATCCTCTTCTTCTCCACCTCCTCCCTCAATCTCTTTGCTAACGCCGCCGTATACATTTTGTACGCTGTTTGCGTTAACGTCACCCTCTGTACTCCTCCACTTTTTCCCTCCCTCTTCTTTATTATCGGTACCACCATTCCCTCGCTCCATTCCTCTGGCCACCCCTCCCCCTTCCACATTCTCTCACATATTTCCCCTAACCATTCTTGTACCTCCTGCCCCCCGTATTTCCACACCTCACTTGGTATTATGTCCCCTTCTACCGCTTTTCCATCCTTCAATCCCTCTATCACTCTCCTTATCTCCTCTTGCTCCAGTCCTTCTTCCCCATCATCCTCCTCTTTTCTACTTATTTCCCTCCTTACCCTTCCCTCCACTCCCCCCAATATTCTCCTGAAATATTCCTCTCATTCTTCCATTTTTATCTCCTCATTCACTCCCCTCCTCCTCCTCCTTTCCTTCCACCTTCCATATCTGCTGTTCTGTTCTTACTTCTCCTAATTCCTTCTCCCACCTCTCCCTTTGCTCCCTCTTCTTCTCCTCACATACCCTCTTGTATTTCTATCTTTTTTCCTTGTATCTTTCTCCCTCCCTCCCTTTTTTCTCCAGTCGCTCTGCTCTCCCCTCACTCTCTTTTTCGCCTCCCTGCATTCTTCATCCCACCATCCCCTTTCCCCCTTATTCTTCTCCTTTTTCCCGCTTAAATCCCTTAGTGTCTCCCTTATCTCTCCCTCTAGACTCCTCCATTCCTCCTGTACCCTCTCCTCCCTTCCCCCTTTTCTCTTAAACTTTTCTCCAAACCCTTCTACTTCCTCCCTCGTTCACCTACTTTTTCTTCCTCCCCTCCCTTTCCCCCCTCCTCTTCCCCCCTTTTCCACACCACTACCGGCTGGTGGTCTGATTTCACTCTTTCTTCCACTTCCATCCTCTCTACCCCTTCTACCGTCTCCGTGTTCCCGATCACAGTCTATCACTGACGTCCCCTTTCCCCCCGCATATGTCCATTCCTCTTCTTCATCCCCTTTCATATTTCTGTTTAAAATCCACTATCCTCTCTCTCCCAGAAACTCGCATAACTTTCTTCCTTTCTTACATACTTTTCTATTCTTTGAGTTCCTACTCCCTTCCTCTCTTCCCTCCTCTTTTTCCCCTCCCACTGCTTCCCCTCCCTCTCTTCCTGTTCTCACGTTCTAATCTCCTCCTATTATCGTCTTTTCTTCCCCCTCTCCCTCCTCCATCCACTTCTTCATCCTCTCCAGCTTTTCTTCTATATCTCCATTCACATATACCCCCACTACTCTCCACCACTCCCTCCCTAACCTCACCTTTCTCACTATTATCCCTTCTTCTTCCTTCTCCTCCTCCTCCCTCCTCATCTCTATTCCCTCTCTCACTCCTACCACCATTCCCCCCATCGCTCTCCCCTTTCTTCTCTTCGCTTCCTGATATTCCCACCTATACCCCTTCGGCAACTTCCTCCTCAGCCTTTCCCATGCCGTCCCCTTTATCCATGTCTCACATAATATCATCACATCCCATCCTCCTAGGTCCTCCCAAAATTCCCTATCTTTGTTCCCTAACCCCGCCACGTTCCAAAACGCCACCTTATATGCCTTTCTTACCTTTCCTTCTTCTCTCACCTCCTCCTCCCTCCGCACCCCTTCCCTCTTCTCCCCCTGTCTCCCCTCTCCCTTCGTTTCACCCGCCCTAGTTTCCCTTCATCTCCCACCACTTCTCTCTTACTTCATCACATCTCTTCATTTTTCCATTCACCCACATCTTCATATACCCTACTTGCACATTCTTGCCCTTCCTTCTCTTTTTCTTCTGCCTCTCTTTCTATCTTCCATTTTGCCTTCCTCTCTTCTTCTGTTAAATCATCTTCTATCCTCTCCCTTTTTCCTCTCAGCTTCTTCTTCGCCTTCATCACTTTCCTCTTCTGCTCTACACTACCTAGTTCTACAAACATATAATAAATATATTAAAATCAATAAAAATATTGTTTTAATTATTGAATAACAGCTAAACTTACTAAAATATTTACACGATCTATATCACTTTCAAATGTTTCAAATTCCTCTACTATAGCTAAGGACCTCTACTATAGCTGGAAGACCTTCTGGACGACATGTTCTGTTGTATTGTTTGCATGTTATAGGTGGATTATAAAGATTTCAACTGAGACATTAAACTTATATTTTGCTCTCCTATTTTACTCCGAATACTTAGAGTAATCGATATTAAGTATATTATATTGAATTTTATAATATATCATAACTTTTACTTTTTTTAACTTACTTATTTATTTTTTATTTTTATTATTTATTTTTATTATTTATTTTTTTAACTTCAGAAGCTGAATAGTTTGAACTTGAAACGATATATTATTCTCTTCGGTGTTCTTAAATAATATATTAGATAATACACTTCTTGCAGTTTCTGAAAACAAAATTATTGCGTTGTTTATTACACTACAGATTTTTTGATAGTTCTTCGTATTAAATTTCTAAACGGGAAGAAAATTCAATAAAAAAAGAAACCATCGATCAAGAGCTCAAAGGTAAAATTCATTGATTTCAGTGAAAACATGATGGATGTTAGCGATACCATTAAAGGTATACCTAAGGACTCTAATGATGGTGAGAAAAATATCACTGATGATAAATATTCAAAGAAAATTCACGATCTACATGACAATATTGAATTTCCGAGTGATTTTGATGCTTGGACTGTGCAAGAACAACGTGACTGGGTGTATAACAATATGACAGAACTTTATTCATATGTACCGGAGAGTTTACAATGTATAATCTCAGGTATTTTCCGCCCAGTCGATTTCCATCGATCACAGGAAAAGTTGCCTGAATGGATGGATATGGATAAATATCGGAGAGGGCAAAAGTTTGTGCGCGACCATTATTGTTCGTTTGTCTTCAGCATACTGCTGGGAACAGTGTACGGTTTAACTTTCAATGATGGTTTAAAACCACTTATCATATCGAGAAAAAGTATCACTCCGTATTTAGCATTTAAAAGGTATGTTTCTAAAATATAAAGTATAGCTTCTTATAATTTATGACTTTGGCGATAAAATATTATTGAAAAATATACGAATGGAATTAGGAATTCCTAGGATCTAGGATCCTAGGAATTCTAATTAGCAGTGATCTGAATGTGAATTATTCAGAAATAATTCGTCCGGCAACTATATACACGGCAAGGAAAAAGCACGGAAAACTTGAATAACTTTGGAGGGTCAAGTTTCCAAGAAAAATATTTTAGACAAAAGTTTCAGTATTCTAAATGATGAACTGCATAGTGCCCTTGAACTTGTCCATGGGGTCAATTTTCAAGGTCGTTTGAGGATCAGCTCTACATTTTCAAATGGAAACTCCAGTTTTTTATTACATTCTCTTTTTCTACCAATGAATTTGAACAACTTTTGTCTAAAATATTTTTTATTTGGCTAATATTTTTTGAAATATTTAAGGAAAACTTGATAACTTTTCCAATATTTAACTTACGATATCTCGCTAACTATTTGTCAGAAAGTGATTTGTCAGAAGTGAAGAAAAAGTGATATTAGACTTTTTTAGTTTCTATTTAATGTCTATTTAGATTCAAGAATATATTGTTACAATAGCGCCCGGACTTTTGTTAACTTACTGACTTTTGGAAATTTCAAAATCATCAAATTAACAAAAATCGGAGCGCTATTGTAATAATATATTCTTCAAACCAAATAAAGTCTAATACCACTTTTTCTTCTGACAAATAATTAGTGAGATATCGTAAGTTAAATATTGAAAAAATTATCAAGTTTTCCTTAAGTATCTCAAAAATATTATCATAAATAAAAAATGTTCTAGATAAAAGTTGTTTAAATTAATTGGTAGAAAAGGATGGTGTAATAGAAAATTGGGGTTTCCATTTGAAAATTTCGAGTTGACCTTCAAATGACCTTGAAAATCGACTCCAAGTCAAGTTCAAGGACACCATCAAGTTCATCACTTAGAATACTGAAACTATTGTTCAAGATATTTTTCTTGTAAACATGACCCTTCATAGTTATTCAGTTGTCCCGATACTTTTTCCTCACCCTGTATGTAGCTCATTAAGGAACAAGATAGAGGTCTTATTTGAATTACAAGGAAAGATTTCCTTAGATGTAAATACAGGTGTCATATATTTAACGAACAAGTTGCTCTAGATATCTCGATACTGCAATGCAGATATTTTCATGGTACGAAGGAGAACCTTGGGTCAAAGGAACGAAGGCCTACAAAGCCATGCAAATTGCACGTATCAAGCACATGAATATAACCACGAAGATATCCCGAATGAATAAGGAACAAGTAAATGCTGCGACCAAGATCGCGTATACGTTGTATCCGGAGGACGAATTGTTTCTAAAGGATATGGACTCGATATATCCGTCCGAGAATCCGGAGCGACATCGTAACAAAGTTTTGAAAACATCCGAACTCACAATAAAAGCTTTAAATAATACGACAGTGACCGTCGCACAGGGTAGCTTCATTCTTTTGTCCATAATATATCCGCAGAATATCGGACTACATAATGCAACCGATGAGGATCTAGAGGCTTTCTGTCATATGTGGAAGTGCTATGGATATTTTCTCGGAGCGGAAGACGAGTATGTAATAATATCATTCATATCTCGCTGATAAATAGTAAATTGGCTATACACGCGAGTCGAGAATTGAATAAAATTTATTTTGAGAATTTTTTTACAACTAATTTTGACAACTAATTTTTACAACTAACCGAGAAAAAGTGATAGAAACAAACTTCCTTGATATTTCAATGACATGAATGCATCAGTGAAACCATATTTTGTCACCACGTGACGAATATCTTCCTATTACTAAAACTTATAAAAAATATTTTATCGTTTGAAACTGTTTTATAATAAATCAAATATATTCTTGCTGTTTTATTCAAACAGAATGTTTTGTTATTGTGTTAGATGAACTTTATTTCTATACGAGAGTTATTATACTGAAATTCGGACTGCTTGCATAGTGACTTATGTCTTCTTTATTTAGCGTATTATAATCAATTTTTTAAGATTATGATTTACTTTCCTTATAATAACTTCACTTTTCTTTTCCTTCTTCTAAGAATTAATTTATATCTAGACATATAAATTTAGCTATCGCCTATGCATTGTTATTTAGTTTTAGTTTTAGTTTTACTGTTATTTAGCTGTTAGTTTTTTAGCCTTACAATCATGCAAGTGTATTATTACTTTATTAATTGTATATAACATATAAGTAAATAATTCACCATGCTGAAGCGAAGAAAATATAGTTATCAAAGCATTACAGCGAATTTCAAGAATCATTCTCGTTTTCAATCGAATGTCGTAAGGAACGTGTATTAAAACCAGTTAGAATTTGCTCAAGGATGTTTATCATTATCATTCTAGAAAGTGGCAAGGCATACATGCTTAGCAATGCATACATGCCAGCGAGTAGAGTTTCCAGTAGTTAGAACTATATAGAACTATATCCTACATTCCGCTCACTACATGTTCGACTTACAATTTAGCTGCAAAACTCAATGTGACACCCGAATATCTCGTCAATCGAACTTCAATCTATCTCTGTCCGTTAAAGCTTACTTACAGATAATGCTTTAACTGTTCTTCAGCTTCATGCTTTAACTTCCTCAAACGTAATATATTATGTTAAACATAATCCACTAGGTACAACTTTTGTCGTGGCAGCTTAGAGGAGATAAAACAGCGCTTATGGGATTTGAGAAATTGGATTACGATTAATTTTACAGACGTCACACCCGAATGGATGTACATGATCAGATGTATGATCGAATCTATAAATTATTACCCTTCGCTTTACATGCCTTATAAGGCAATAACATTATTCTACATAGAAGCATTAAATCTCAAAATGCCTAACTTCTATGCGTCATTCAATTATAGCGAATGGATCATGTATAAAATATTTACGTAAGTAATGTGTATTTTACATATATTTTAGCTCCATGTGTTTTACTATGCACATAGTAATAATTAGTATTATTAAGTATTATTAAGTATTAATTCGTTGATATGAACCAAATCAATATACAGTATGTCCCATTCTAAACAGTCGATCCGAATATCTCGAAAACTGAGCAGGTAGACAAAAATGTTTCAGATAAAAGTTGTATGATTTCAAGGGGGACATAAAACAACTATATCGATTTGTTTGCAGATGGCGCAATTTTCGAAATATTCACTGATCATTGCTTTTCTTAAATGCAAATCCGAATTTTTTATTATATCATCTTTTTCTACCAATTAATTTATACAACTTTTGTCTAAAATATTTTTTTATTTGCCTAATATTTTTTGAGATATTTAAGGAAAACTTGGTAACTTTTTCAATATTTAACTTACGATATCTCGCTACTTGTCGGAAGAAAAAATGGTACCAGACTTTTTTACTCCACTTGGTTAGGTTCTCAAAAATATATTGTTACAATAACGCCCTGACTTTTGTTAATTTGATAATTTAGAAATTTCCAAAGGTCGATGAGTTAACAAAAGTCAGAGCATTATTGTAACAATATATTTTCTTGAGACTGAATAGAATAAAAGAGTGTAGTACTATTTTCCCTTCGACAAATAGTTAGCGAAACATCGTAAGTTAAATATTAAAAAAATTACCAGTTTTCTTAAATATCTCAAAAAATATTAGGCAAATAAAGAAAAGTTTCAGACAAAAGTTGTTCAAACGTTTCAGACAAAAGTTGTTCAAACGTTTCAGACAAAAGTTGTTCAAATTAATTGGTAGAAAAAGATGATATAATAAAATTATTGGGATTTTCATTTAAGAAAAATAATTATCAAAGAATATTTCTAAAGTGGCGCCATCTATAAATTAAATAAAACGATATAATCGTTTTATTTAATTTATAGATATAATCGTTTTATGTCTCCCTTGAAACCATATAACTTTTGCCTGAAACATTTTTGTCTATCGGGCTCAGTTTTCGAGATATACGGACCAACTGTTTAGTATACCGTGTACGAGTAAGTGGAATATTATTTTTATTTTGCATATTTTGTAATTTATATTACTTTAATTTTAGATTTTTCGCCCGTCATTTGTTAAAATTCTCAATTGTGAGAACAGTTGTCAATCAATTCATACGTAAAGTGTTTGACAGAGCAATAAATTTAAAGCCGGAGGAATTAGCAAAGCTGCAAGAAAAATCAAAATCATATCTGGATTTTGTTACTCAATCATAATATATACTTTATATATTATGCGTCGTTTATTCTTTTTCATATATATTTTATATATATTTTTCATATATATTTTTCATATACAGGGGGGTGACACAGACAGCATATAAGGTATATACGGCGGTACTGACGAAGAGGTTGAGGGAGGAGGTGGAGAGGAAGAGGATTCTGCCGGAGAGTCCGGCGGGATTTAAGAGGGGAAGGGGGACAATGGACAACATATATATGCTGAATTTTTTGATAAACAGGCAGGTGGAGAGGAGAGAGAGGAGGTTGGTAATATTGTTTGTGGACCTGAAAGCAGCGTTTAACTTAGTGGATAGAGAGATATTGAGAAAAGTGATGAGGGAAAGGGAGTAAGGGAAGGATTGGTGAGAAGATGCGAGGAGGTATTAGAGGAGACAAAGAGCAGAGTGAGAGTAGGAGGGAGAAAGGGAAAAAGTTTTTCGACAAAAAGGGGGGTGAGACAAGGGTGCTCGTTGAGTCCGCTGCTATTCACGATATTAATAGCGGACATAGAAGAGGAGTTAAAGAGCGTGAGAGGGTGTATATGTTGGCGTATGTGGATGATTTGGCGTTATTGACAGAAGATGAGGAGGGGATGAAGGGAATGATGGCGAGATTAGAAAAGTATATGGAAAGGAAGGGGTTGGAGATAAATATAGAAAAGACGAAAATAATGAGGTGTGGGAAGAGTGGAGGGAGGTGGAGGAAGATAGATTGGAGATGGAAAGGGAAGAGAGTGGAGGAGGTGAAAGAATATAAATATCTACGGTATGTGATGACAAGAAATGGAGGACAAGAGGCGCAGGTGCGGGATAAGGTAAGGAATGGAGCAAGGGTAATGGGGCAGTTATGGAGGATAGGGAAAAGGAAATTTAAAAAGGACTGGGGAAGAGGATATGGCTATTTGATAAATTGGTATGGCCGGTGATAAGCTATGGGGTAGAGATTTGGGGATGGAGAGAGAGGAGGAAAATAGAGGAATTGCAGGAAAGATATTTGAGATGGGTGCTGGGGATGGAAAGATGGACGCCAGGATATATGGTGAGAGAGGAAGTGCAGAGGGAACTGATGAGGAGCACAGCGGGAGTAAGAGCGTGGGGATATGAGAAGAGGCTGGGGAAAGGAAGAGGGGGGGAGATAGCAAGAAGTCGTTGGATGGAGATGAGGGGTAGGGCGAAAAGAGGAGAGGGAGTAGGGAGATGGGAGGAAGAGAGAAAAAGGTATTTTGAGGACAAAGGGTGGAAAATAGATAGGATAGAAGAGATAAGCGAAAAAGGAGGGGAGCTAAAGGGAGAGGAATTAAAGAGTAGGGAAAAAAGGAGACAGGAGAAGGAAAGATGGGAAAACATAAGGGAATCAAGGTTTAATGAGGGATATGGAAGGGTGAAGGGAAGGGAAATTCCTGAGTATTTAAAGAAGGGATGGGGAGAAAACAGATGAAGGAGGGTAGTGAGGTTCAGGATGGGGAACCAGTTGAAAGAGGGGAGGCACTGGGAGGAAGAAAAAAGGAGGTGTAGGATGTAGGCGGGGGAAGAGAGTAGACGTGGAAGCATATTTGGGAGCAGTGTACGAAGAGGGGGGAAGAAAAGGGATGGCAGGAAATGGAGGGGGAGATGTTAGGGGAGGTGAGAAAGGGGGAGGGGTGGATGAGGGAGGTAAAGAAATGGTGGAGAGTGGAGGAGGTGAGGAGGAGAAAGAAAGAGGTAGGAGGAGCGGCGGAAACGGAAGTCAAGGGTGTGAGTGGAGGAACGGGGAGTGAGAGAAAGGGAGAGAATGAAAGAGTGGAGGAATGAGAGTATGTGTGAGGAGCGCTTTCTCTCTCTCCCTCTCTCTCTCTCTCTCTCTCGAGCGGATAGCGGATAGTATGTAAGGCTAGAAATGTAAGAAGTAGAGTGTATAAGATAGGGGGAGGGAAAGAATTATAAGACCAAGGGAAAACAATAAAGCATTTATATATATTTTTCATATATATTTTATATATTTCACTTAATATAATTTTAATACTTCATTCACTAATCTACTTCAAATGTTGTGTTTTTTATTATTCTTATTCTAACTAACGATTAATTTTAATTCGTCAAATTGTTAGCTTTAATTGTTAGCTTTAAAATTGTTATCGTCGGAATAGTAACGTAAATATGTTTGGATTTTACAGTTTACAATTATTAATACAGTTTACATTTACAATTATTAATGTGACACGAGAATATAGCACTGACCAATCTATATGATTGAAATTCGTGATTGAATTTCAATTACACGCAATGTTATAGTTGCTATTTAGTCTTTAAACACAATACAATATGTTCAATATAATTGCTATAATTATAATTATGTTATAATTATAATTAAATATTAATAATTACTGTAACTATAATTATAATTATGTTAAATATATCATGTAAAATATAATCCATTAGGTACAACTTTCGTCGTCGCAGCTGAGAGGAGATAAAACGGCGTATATATGGGATTTGGGTGAAAATTAAATATCGATTAATTTTAAGGATGTCATATCCGAATAAATGCACATGACCAGATGTCATGCCAAATCTATGAATTATTACTCTTAGCTCTACATATAGAGCTCTACATAAGACCATGACAATATTCTTTACAGAAGTATTAAATCTCAAGATATTTAACTTTTATTCATCGCTTAATTCGCTACCAGGTCTGTAAATATAAAACCGGAATTTGCCCATAGATGACCCTAGCTGTCAATGTATAGTTACCGTCAAACCGCGTCATTGGCGCCATTTCCATTTGTTGACATCTGACAAAGATTTTTAACTCACAACAATACAAGTTTTATACAACAGCATAGTTTGTAATAGCGTTGAACATGTCGAATTTTATGTCTGGAAGCTACGATTTGGGGACAGCAAATGATTTTCTGTTACCATTTGAAGAAAACTGCTGCAGAATTGCTTCGAATGCTTGTCGAAGCTTACGGTGAGCATGATCTTGGTAAATCACAGTGTTTTGAGCAGTTTAAAAAATTCAAACATGGCGATTTTGACGTGAGAAACGAAGAACGTGGAAGACCACCGAAAAAGTTTGAAGACAGAGAATTGCAAGCATTGTTGGATGAGGATGACGCTCAAACGCAACAACAACTCGCGGATCAATTAAATATGACGCAAGAAGCCGTCTCCATACGTTTGAAAGCCATGGGAAAGATACAGAAGATGGGAAAATGGGTTCCACATGAACTGAATGAAAGACAGCAGAAAAACCGAAAAACCATTTGCGAAATACTGCTCGCCAGGTACAAAAGAAAATCATTTCTCCATCGAATTGTGACTGGCGATGAAAAGTGGATATATTTTGAGAATCCTAAGCGTAAAAGATCATGGGTAACTCCAGGCGAACCATCGACATCGACTGCAAGGTCACATCGCTATGGACGGAAGACAATGCTCTGTGTTTGGTCGGATCAGAAGGATGCAGGGTTGGGAAGTAACGCGTTACTTGTAACGCCGTTACTGGTCTCGTTACTTTTTTGAGTAACGATTAGGTAACGCCGTTACTTTTTGGTGTCAGTAACGAAAAAGTAACGGCGATACATTTTTTTTGTAACGAGTAACAAAACGTCCGTTACTTTAATCGTTACTTTTTAATTTTTATAAAATTAAACTTAATTGTATTAAATTTCTATGCATTTTTTGTTTTATGCTGAATTTAATGAGAACCAATAAAGATGGACTCACATATTGTCATCCATTGGCCGTAGCTATACAGAAAGGTTTAAAAGAAAGGTAAATTGGTGTAATTTGGTTAATACATATGTTCATCAAACAACATTCATCTGATCAAAAAGAAAAATCAATATGTTCATATTTAATTTTATTGATTTAACTTTAGGTTTTGTACACTCGAAAAAGAAGAATTGATAATTGCCAGCTGTTTGCATCCCAAATTGAGTTGGTTAGCTGAAGATAAATGAAAACTTGCGCAAACGTATTTAGAAGATTTATAAGGAATTCCTTCAATTAAAAATTTTTTGATGTCTGATAAGCACAACAATAACGATGACTTCTTTAATTTTAAATAGCAAACATTAAATGAGAAATCTGCCTATGATGAATGGCAAAGATTTTTAAAGTCAACAGGCACTAATGTCCAAATATTAAATTCATATCCACTAATTAAGAAACTTTTCATTAAGTACAATACTTAATAACATAAAATAATAAAAATATTTAAATATATATATACCATATATATATATATATGTATATATATATATATATATATATATTTCTAATCGTCTTATGTCCGATTTATATCTTGTCTTAGCATCTTTCTTATAATCCTGGATTTATAACAAAAAAAAGTAACGGAAAGTAACGAAATAAAATATCGTTACTTTCAAATAACGGTAACGCGTTATTTTTTGAGATCAGTAACGAGTAACGGTAACGAGTTACTTTTTACCGAAAGTAATGGTAACGGTAACGAGTTACTTTTAAAAAGTAACTTTCCCAACCCTGGAAGGGTGTGATTTATTATGAACTGCTAAAACCTGGCGAAACCGTTAATATATATTACCTAATAACCTAACCTAACCTAACAACAAATGATCGATTTGAATCAAGCTTTGTGTGAAAAACGACCAGAATATCAAAAAAGGCAACACAAAGTGGTTTTGCTTCATGATAATGCACCATCACACACAGCAAAACTGGTCAAGGAAACGATTGAGGCGTTTAGTTGGGAAATACTTTCGCATGCGGCTTACTCACCAGACTTGGCTCCGTCCGATTACTACTTATTTGCATCGATGGGACACGCACGCACTTGCTGAGCAGCGCTTCACTTCTTACGAAAATGTACGAAAATGGCTCGATGACTGGTTTGCCCCAAAAGAGCAATAGTTTTTCTGGCGTGGCATCCACAAATTGTCAGACAGGTGGGAAAAATGTATAGCCAGCGATGGGCAATACTTCGAATAAAATATTTTTTATCATTTTCATGCAATAAATATATATTTTCTATACCAAAATTCCGGTTTCATATTTACATACCTGGTATACAGCTATCGGTCATTCGCGTTTGGCGTATGTGTACTTCTTCTGTGGAAGCATCAGTCTCGTTAACACATCACTCAATAAGTTCGTAGGATGACTAATAAAACAACAACTTTTAGGCAAAATTTGACTTTATTCATCTACATAGTCTCCTTCAAGAGTGATACATTGATTCCAACGCTTCTCTAACATTTCGATGCCTTTTTTGTAGAACGATTTATCTTTGGCCTCAAAATAGGCTTCAGTTTCGGCAATTATTTCTTCATTGGAGCCAAATCTCTTTCCCTGGAGCATTCTTTGTAGGCCTGCAAACAGGTAGTAGTCGCTGGGAGCCAGATCCGGAGAATACGGTGGATGGGGGAAGCAATTGAAAGTGCAATTCGTGCAATTTTGCCATTGTTGCGAGCGACTTGTGACACGGTGCATTATCCTGGTGAAAGAGCACTTTTTTCTTCTTCATTTGGGGTCGTTTCTTCGCAATTTCTTCCTTCAAACGCACCAATAACGCCATATAATATTCGCTATTGATGGTTCTTCCTTTCTCAAGGTAATCAATGAGTAAAATACCTTGCGCATCCCAAAATACGGAGGCCAAAACCTTACTAGGTGACATTTGCGTGTTTGGTCGCTTTGGGCAGGTTTCGCCGGTTACTGTCCACTCAACTGACTGCCGATTTGATTCTGGAGTGTAGTGATGGATTCATGTTTCATCCGTTGTCACATACCGCATCAAAAAATCCTTTTTATTGCGCTGAAACAGCTCCAAACAGCCCGCTGAATCGTCGACGCGTTGCTTTCTTTTTTGATTAACTGTGAGCAAACGCGGTACTCACTTCGAACAGAGTTTCCTCATGGACAAATGTTCATGCAAAATGGTGAATACACTGCCTTCTATCTTTAAGCTGTCAGCTATCTCACGTAACTTCAATTTACGATCGGCCAAAACTATTTTGTGGACTTTTTTATGTTTTCTAGAATAACTGTCGAATTTGGGCGACCAGAGCGTTCAGCGTCATCGGTATTTATATGGCCGCCTTTAAAATCAGCAAACCACTTCTCTACCATTTGTCTCGATGGAGCAGAGTCCGAATAACACTTGTCAAGCCATTGCTTTGCTTGAACGGTATTTTTTCCCATTAAAAAGCAATGCTTTATTAACACACGAAACTCAGATTTTTCCATTGTTTTCAAAATTAAAACAGTAAAAGTAGCGTCACTAAAACCACTGTAACTTGTGAACTAAACGTCCGATTGTCATGAAATTTAGACACATATCATTTGAAGGTCAGTACTTTCTAAAAATCATATGGATTTGTCAATAGTAGCGCCATCTATATGTCATCCTATGAACTTATTGAGTGATGTGTTATTTTATAGCCACACCTCGTATAAGAAATCAGCTGGGGCGTCACATTATCATTAAAATTGTTTCCTCGTTTAATAATCACTTTAAAATATATATGTTTATGCGTTATATATATATGTGTGTATGCGTATATATATAAAATATATATATGTATTAAACACGTAAACATATATATTTTAAAGTGATTATTAAACGAGGAAACAATTTTAATGATAATGTGGCGCCGTAGCTGATTTCTTATACGGCGACGGTCTTGAATGAATCGCGATCGTCGCCTCGGCTGCTAAGCGCGGAGCGGAGCGAGGGGCACGATAGGCGTCACCTACTGAATTTCGCTCGAAATGTGCAGATCGTGTCCAGCTCTGATCTATAATATTCTTTCCCCATTAATCTATCTAGTTATATTTAATATATCTAGTTATATTTAATATATCTAGTTATATATAATATATCTAGTTTAATTTTTAGTATATTAGCAGTTAGTATTTCTTGTAGAAATCAATTTTCTTCATGGTTACGTCATTGTGACTTTACATAAGGCTGCATATAATCTAGCTTTAAATCGCTCACACAGCAGCAACAGTATTCCGTGAACTCTTGACTAAGTTACATCGTAGTGAAAGTGACAAGAAGACAGTTTGCAACACTTAGAAGTTTGACATACGTAAGTTAGTATCAGTTAGTTATTATGTTATTATGTTATGTTTATCAAAAGTATTGTTTTTACGATCGAGATGTCGTCTATCCGAATATTCGTCTCAATATTGACGAGCTGTTTCTCTAGCATTATTATCAGCCACATATTAAATGTCAATAACGTGTCAATTATTTTTAAGGCGAATAATCCGCTTTGTCGATAATGACACAATTAATGAAAGGAAATAAAATTAATTTACTTAGGTAACTAAACGTATCGATTAAATCGTCGCAATAAGAGCCAACTCCAGTAGATTTTAATTTAAAAAACAAACGCCTGGATGACAGACTGGCGACTAATAAAAGTGTTTTGTAGTAGTAGTTTACATTCAAAGAAAGTGCATTGATAGCTCCTTTATTTCGTAAAGTTAAGCTCCGGCGATCCTTCGAATACTTAACACACACCCACACACATACAAATGAGTTTAATGCTCGTAAGAATTATAATTTTAAACTCAAATATCTTGGAAACTATTTTAATTATTGATTTTGTAAAAAATTATTAAGATATCAAATACATTAATTTATTTAAATAAATCCAGAAGTACGATAAAAAAATAGTTATCATTTTAAAAAAGTAAAATTGACTTTAATCCGACCTAAAATTATGATTCTTTATTCTTTGAACCTAAATATCTCAAAAATTATTAGTTTTGCAAAAGAATACGAAGATACAAAGAAATATTCAATAGAAATATTCAATAGAATAAAAAGAATGTCCAATCAAAAAATGATAAAAAATAGATGCTGTTATTTGAAAAGGTAAAGTTCATCTTGAAATGATCTTGAACAATCTCAGATAGGAAAATGTTATTATTTTTGTGCTCAGATTGCATTTACATATTGACGTAATATAATTTCAAAAATACATACAGATGTGTGCGTATATGTTGCTCAGATATTAGTCATGTCATGATGTCAGAAAATATCTTATTTTATATATCTTATCCTATTATTATTTTAAAGTGACATATTTAACCCTTTGAGGCATATTTGAGGTGTATTTTTCAGAAAATCCGAATCACATGAAAATTTACATACGGGGGTTTCTGGGGTTGCCGATGACGAATCCGTTATCGGATTTTCGAAATTCAAGATGGCGGATCCAAGATGGCGCACGCAAAAATGAAAAATCGCGATAATTTCGGTGACATCCGTGATTCGTAATCAACGACCTTGAAAGCTAGCCAAAGTACAATTTCAGCTAATCATAAAAATTTTATGATCCGCCATCTTGGAAAATAAATTTTAGAATTTGGACCTCAGATTCTGTAAAAATGTGTATTTTTCACACTTTGTTTATTTATCATAAATAGACAACTTATGCAAAACACTTTTCAACCTTTGATGTATATTCCCATGTCATATCATAAAGAAGCAAAAAATCGCAAAAAACCCGACAAAAATCCCTCAAATATAAAATATTTCATGAAAATGTGAGAATAAATAGGTGGTAAGTATATTTACTACTATGCCTCAAAGGGTTAATACATGATTTTGTGCTCAAATAAAGGTCAAAGCATTAAATTTTTTTTATAAAAATTGTGTTTTTTACTATTACTATTTTTCCATGAATGTGAAGAGACAATGTGAAATAGAATGTGTTCCAAATATATTTTATTTTACTTTGGTATATGTGAGTAGTAAATAATATCATACAGGACCACATAAAATTAGCTTGTACATAGCAGTTTAATCCTCTAAAAATTACAAAAATTTTTGAGTTTTTTTAATCGAAATACATATCGTTCATTTACTGCAACAATAACCACTCAAAAATAATGATTTTGTCGAAAACGATTATCCGTAAATTTTAGATTATCAGTCCCCAGTTACCAATAAATTTTAGATATCAAAACTACAAAGAAAATTGTTTTTTCTATATTAATAAATAAAAACGACAAAAATTTGAATTATATGATTATTGCAGTAAATAAGCGACATATTATTATTACAGATATCACAGCATCATATTTTGAGAAAGTAAATATTTTGGGAAAGTAAACTTAAACAATAAGTTTATTTTAGACAAAAATGTAAAATGTACTATTTCTATAATAAAATAAAAGTTGCTAGATTTTTTATATTACTCTTCCACAGTATAAACATGTATAGTAAAGAAATATAAAGCACTATAGAAACAAAAAATTTATAAAATTTTAACAATAATCCAAGATGACATCAAATAACGACGTCTTAATAATGTCCGTAAGGTCAGTAAGACATCATTAAAACATCATCCTGTAACATAATATAAAATTTCTATAATAACGTGAGAATATCAATCTTTAGTTATCAAGTTAATAATATAATTAAAAAATTGATATAAGTAAAGTTTGATATAAAAATAAAAAATTGATTAACTTTCATTAGAATCATCTGAGAAAAGAAGATCACAAGCCTCGTAGTTAACAGAATTGTCAGTCTTCGAACTATTATCTGAATTATCTTATCTTCAATATCATCTTCAATATTATTTGTTGTTCTTGTAGGTACTTTTTCTTTTTAATTATGTTTCACATCAATAGTGTAGCGCTATTTTACTGTTCGAAGTACCTTCATAATCTCACTTTTAAACTCAGCAAGATTTTTTAGTCCTTCAAAAGTCTGGCATTCTTCTGCTGCAACTAAAAAAATGTAAAATCATAATAAAAGTATTTACAAATATTTAATACTAAGTAGAAAATAAATTTTATTTTGAAATGTAATTAATTAATTCACTTGGATAAATGTAAATGTAAATAATATAAGTCTTATAAATATAATATGTATGTATGTATGTATGTATGTATGTATATTCTTTATTGCCTCCCTTTGGGATTACAATTCTTAACCTAATTCTTAACCTTTACATTTTCTCTATCTTTCTTATCTCTTATATTCTAATCGCTTGAGAGAGAGAGAGAGCTCCACACACACACACACCTCACTCTTCTCCATTCTCTCCCCCTCTCTCACTCTCCACTCTTTTCCTCTCATTCCATGACCTCCGTTTCCGGTACCCCTTCTATCTCCCTCCTTCCTCGTCTCCCTCCCTCCTCTTTCCCCCTCCTCCTCCTCCTCTCCTCCCCACCATTTTTCTACTTCCTTCATCCACTTCTCCCCTTTTCCCTCCTCTCCCAGTACCTCCCTCTCCATCTCCTGCCATCCCCTTTCTTCCCCCCATCCTGCACATTCCTCCCATATATACTTCCATGTTTCTTCCCTTCTCCCACACATCTTGCATCTCTTCTTTTCCTCCTCCTCCCAATACCTTCCTCCTCTTAGCTCACATCCTAGCCTAAATCTCGCTATCCTCCTCCATCTTTTCTCTCCCCACCCCATTTTCAGATATCCCGGTACTCCCCTCCCTTTCACCCTTCCGTATCCCTCATTGTGTCCTGATTCTCTTATCCTTTCCCATCTCTCCTCCTCCTGCTTTCTTCTTTCTCTACTCTTTATTTCCTCTCCCCTTATCCCCTCTCCCTTTTCCCTCCTTTCCCCTATCTCGTCTATTTTCCACCCCCCATCTTCAAAGAACCTTCTCCTCTCCTCTTCCCATTTCCCCACTTCTTTTCCTCTCCTTGCCCTATTCCTCATCTCCATCCAGCACCTTCTTGCTATCTCTCCTTTCCTTTCCTCCAGTCTCTTCTCATATCCCCATGCTCTCATTTCTGCTCTGCTTCTCATTAATTCCCTCTGCATCTCCTCTCTTATTATATACCCTGGGGTCCATCTCTCTACCCCCAATATTCATCTTAAATATCTTTCCTGTAGCTCCTCTATCCCTCTCCTCTCTTTCCATCCTCATATCTCTACCCCGTAGCTTATCACCGACCACACCAATTTGTCGAACAGCCATATCCTCCTACCCCAGTCCTTTCCAAACCTCCTCTTTCCTATCCCCCATACTTGTCTCATTACCTTCGCTTCTTTCTTTACCTTATCCTTGATCTGCTCCTCTTGCCCCCCGTTCCTTCTCATTATGTATTCTAAATATTTATATTCCTTTACTTCCTCTATCCTCTTCCCCTTCCATCTCCAATCCACTTTCTTCCATTTTCCACCACTTTTCCTGCACCTCATTATTTTCGTCTTTTCTATATTTATTTCCAGTCCCTTCTTTCCTAAGTATCCCTCCAGTTTCCCCATCATTCCCTTCATCCCCTCCTCATCCTCTGTCAATACCGCCAGATCATCCGCATATGCCAATGTGTATACCCTCTCTTCCCCCAGCCTTACCCCTCCCCAGCCTCCCTTCCTCAGTTCCTCATCTATATCCGCAATTAATAATGTAAATAATATTGGACTTAGCGGGCATCCTTGCCTCACCCCTCTCCCTGTCCAGAATCTCTCTCCCTCTCTCCCCCCCACTTTCACTCTATTCCTTGTCTCCGCTAACACCTCCTCACATCTCCTTATCAGCCCTTCTCTCACTCCCTTTTCCCTCATTGCTCTTCCTAATATCCCCCTATCCACTGCATCAAATGCCGCCACAAACAGTATTGTCATTCTTTTCTCTCTCCTTTCCACCTGCCTGTTTCTTAGATAGTTTAATGCATACACATTATCTATCGTCCCCCTTCCCTTTCTGAATCCCGCCTGACTCTCTGGCAAAATCCTTTTCCTTTCCACTTCCTTTCTCATTCTCTCCGCTAGCACCGCCGTGTACACTTTGTACGCTGTTTGCGTCAGCGTCACCCCTCTATATTCCTCCACCCTTTTTCCCTCCCCTTTCTTCATTATCGGCACTACCATTCCCTCACTCCATTCCTCCGGCCACCCCTCCCCCTTCCACACCCTTTCACATATCTCCCCCAACTATCTTTGTACCTCCTGCCCCACGTACTTCCACACCTCACTTGGAATTCCGTCTCCTCCTACCGCTTTCCCATCTTTTAATCTCTTTATCACTCTCCTTATCTCCTCTTGCTCCAGTCTTTCTTCCCTATCCTCCTTCCCTACTCTATTTATATCCCTCCTTATCCTTCCCTTCGCTCCTCCAATATTCTCCTGAAATACTCCTCCCACTTATAAATATAATATAATAATATAATTTATAGAAATATAATTTATGAATAAATATTCATTTAATGCTATATAAAACAAAGAAATGAATTGAAATATAATTAAACTTATGAAAAAATATTTTAACAATTTTTGTATTATAAAATAGTATGGAATTAGTTGTACGACCCCGAATAAGTAAATTTCGATGTTAACTCATCGGTCATCGTTTCTTTTTGAAAACGATTTAAGGTCTCTCAACTTAATACCTCCAATGAATTGTAAAAATAATTTCTACAAATATATAATAAATATATTAAAATCAATAAAAATATTGTTTTAATTATTGAATAATAGATAAACTTACTAAAATATTTACACGATCTGTATCACTTTGGCTTCGAAACCTTTTGAGCTGGCAACAACGCTTTCGCACGAACATAAAGAGATTATTGTGAGTCCTTGGAACTACCAGGCTCTCCTTTCTATCTTTGAAGTATAAACGATTACGTCAGAGTCTAAGAACTACCGCAACTGCCCGGCGTCCCGCCTCGCCGGCGAGAATCGAGTTTATGGCCCCCGACCAGCTGCGCTGTCGTTTCATACCTGCCGTTTCTAAAATATTTCAGATACGACCATAACACTTCAGGATATTATTCTACAGATGTTAAACTGTCAAAAAGTGCAAAAAAAAATTCGATTTTTTCAAACCGTCACGCTAGGTAAGCCCCTTAAATGATATATTAGATAATACACTTCTTTTCTGAAAACAAAATTATTGCGTTGTTTATTACACTACAGATTTTTTGATAGTTCTTCGTATTAAATTTCTAAACGGGAAGAAAATTCAATAAAAAAAGAAACCATCGATCAAGAGCTCAAAGGTAAAATTCATTGATTTCAGTGAAAACATGATGGATGTTAGCGATACCATTAAAGGTATACCTAAGGACTTTAATGATGGTGAGAAAAATATCACTGATGATAAATATTCAAAGAAAATTCACGATCTACATGACAATATTGAATTTCCGAGTGATTTTGATGCTTGGACTGTGCAAGAACAACGTGACTGGGTGTATAACAATATGACAGAACTTTATTCATATATACCGGAGAGTTTACAATGTATAATCTCAGGTATTTTCCGCCCAGTCGATTTCCATCGATCACAGGAAAAGTTGCCTGAATGGATGGATATGGATAAATATCGGAGAGGGCAAAAGTTTGTGCGCGACCATTATTGTTCGTTTGTCTTCAGCATACTGCTGGGAACCGTGTACGGTTTAACTTTCAATGATGGTTTAAAACCACTTATCATATCGAGAAAAAGTATCACTCCGTATTTAGCATTTAAAAGGTATGTTTCTAAAATATAAAGTATAGCTTCTTATAATTTATGACTTTGGCGATAAAATATTATTGAAAAATATATGAATGGAATTAGGAATTCCTAGGATCTAGGATCCTAGGAATTCTAATTAGCAGTGATCTGACTGTGAATTATTCAGAAATAATTCGTCCGGCAACTATATACACAGCAAGGAAAAAGCACGGAAAACTTGAATAACTTTGAAGGGTCAAGTTTCCAAGAAAAATATTTTAGATAAAAGTTTCAGTATTCTAAATGATGAACTGCATAGTGCCCTTGAACTTGTCCATGGGGTCAATTTTCAAGGTCGTTTGAGGATCAGCTCTTCACATTTTCAAATGGAAACTCCAGTTTTTTATTACATTCTCTTTTTCTACCAATGAATTTGAACAACTTTTGTCTAAAACATTTTTTATTTGGCTAATATTTTTTGAAATATTTAAGGAAAACTTGATAACTTTTTCAATATTTAACTTACGACTTTCTTAGTTTTTTATTTAATGTATATTTATAACTCAAGAATATATTGTTACAATAGCGCCCGGACTTTTGTTAACTTACTGACTTTTGGAAATTTCAAAATCATCAAATTAATAAAAATCGGAGCGCTATTGTAACAATATATTCTTCAAACCAAATAGAGTCTAGTACCACTTTTTCTTCTGACAAATAATTAGTGAGATATCGTAAGTTAAATATTGAAAAAGTTATCAAGTTTTCCTTAAGTATCTCAAAAATATTAGGCAAATAAAAAATGTTCTAGATAAAAGTTGTTTAAATTAATTGATAGAAAAGGACGGTGTAATAGAAAATTGGGGTTTCCATTTGAAAATTTTGAGTTGACCTTCAAATGACCTTGAAAATCGACTCCAAGTCAAGTTCAAGGTCACCATCAAGTTCATCACTTAGAATACTGAAACTTTTGTTTAAGATATTTTTCTTGAAAACTTGACCCTTCATAGTTATTCAGATGTTCCGATACTTATTCCTCATCCTGTATGAAGTTTGTTAAGGAACAAGATAGAGGTCTTATTTGAATTATAAGGACATATTTCCTTAGATGTAAATATAGATGCCATATATCTAACGAACAAGTTGCTCTAGATTTCTCGATACTGCAATGCGGATATTTACATGGTACGAAGGAGAACCTTGGGTCAAAGGAACGAAGGCCTACAAAGCCATGCAAATTGCACGTATCAAGCACATGAATATAACCACGAAGATATCCCGAATGAATAAGGAACAAGTAAATGCTGCGATCAAGATCGCGTATACGTTGTATCCGGAGGACGAATTATTTCTGAAGGATATGGCCTCGATATATCCGTCTGAGAATCCGGAGCGACATCGTAACAAAGTTTTGGAAACATCCGAACTCACAATAAAAGCTTTAAATAATACGACAGTGACAGTCGCACAGGGTAGCTTCATTCTTTTGTCCATAATATATCCGCAGAATACCGGACTACACAATGCAACCGATGAGGATCTAGAGGCTTTCTGTCATATGTGGAAGTGCTATGGATATTTTCTCGGAGCGGAAGACGAGTATGTAATAATATCATTCATATCTCGCTGATAAATAGTAAATTGGCTATACACGCGAGTCGAGAATTGAATAAAATTTATTTTGAGAATTTTTTTACAACTAATTTTGACAACTAATTTTTACAACTAACCGAGAAAAAGTGATAGAAACAAACTTCCTTGATATTTCGATGTCATGAATGCATCAGTGAAACCATATTTTGTCACCACGTGACGAATATCTTCCTATTACTAAAACTTATAAAAAATATTTTATCGTTTGAAACTGTTTTATAATAAATCAAATATATTCTTGCTGTTTTATTCAAACAGAATGTTTTGTTATTGTGTTAGATGAGCTTTATTTCTATACGAGAGTTATTATACTGAAATTCGGACTGCTTGCATAGTGACTTATGTCTTCTTTATTTAGCGTATTATAATCAATTTTTTAAGATTATGATTTACTTTCCTTATAATAACTTCACTTTTCTTTTCCTTCTTCTAAGAATTAATTTATATCTAGACATATAAATTTAGCTATCGCCTATGCATTGTTATTTAGTTTTAGTTTTAGTTTTACTGTTATTTAGCTGTTAGTTTTTTAGCCTTACAATCATGCAAGTGTATTATTACTTTATTAATTGTATATAACATATAAGTAAATAATTCACCATGCTGAAGCGAAGAAAATATAGTTATCAAAGCATTACAGCGAATTTCAAGAATCATTCTCGTTTTCAATCGAATGTCGTAAGGAACGTGTATTAAAACCAGTTAGAATTTGCTCAAGGATGTTTATCATTATCATTCTAGAAAGTGGCAAGGCATACATGCTTAGCAATGCATACATGCCAGCGAGTAGAGTTTCCAGTAGTTAGAACTATATAGAACTATATCCTACATTCCGCTCACTACATGTTCGACTTACAATTTAGCTGCAAAACTCAATGTGACACCCGAATATCTCGTCAATCGAACTTCAATCTATCTCTGTCCGTTAAAGCTTACTTACAGATAATGCTTTAACTGTTCTTCAGCTTCATGCTTTAACTTCCTCAAACGTAATATATTATGTTAAACATAATCCACTAGGTACAACTTTTGTCGTGGCAGCTTGGGGGAGATAAAACAGCGCTTATGGGATTTGAGAAATTGGATTATGATTAATTTTACAGACGTCACACCCGAATGGATGTACATGATCAGATGTATTACCGAATCTATTAATTATTACCCTTGGTTTTACATGCCTTGTAAGGCAATAACATTATTCTACATAGAAGCATTAAATCTCAAAATGCCTAACTTCTATGCGTCATTCAATTATAGCGAATGGATCATGTATAAAATATTTACGTAAGTAATGTGTATTTTACATATATTTTAGCTCCATGTGTTTTACTATGCACATAGTAATAATTAGTATTATTAAGTATTATTAAGTATTAATTCGTTGATATGAACCAAATCAATATACAGTATGTCCCATTCTAAACAGTCGATCCGAATATCTCGAAAACTGAGCAGGTAGACAAAAATGTTTCAGATAAAAGTTGTATGATTTCAAGGGGGACATAAAACAACTATATCGATTTGTTTGCAGATGGCGCAATTTTCGAAATATTCACTGATCATTACTTTTCTTAAATGCAAATCCGAATTTTTTATTATATCATCTTTTCTATCAATTAATTTATACAACTTTTGTCTAAAATATTTTTTTATTTGCCTAATATTTTTTGAGATATTTAAGGCAAACTTGGTAACTTTTTCAATATTTAACTTACAATATCTCGATACTTGTCGGAAGAAAAAATGGCACTAGACTTTTTTATTCCACTTGGTTAGGTTCTCAAAAATATATTGTTACAATAACGCCCTGACTTTTGTTAATTTGATAATTTAGAAATTACCAAAGGTCGATGAGTTAACAAAAGTCGGAGCATTATTGTAACAATATATTTTCTTGAGACTGAATAGAATAAAAGAGTGTAGTACTATTTTCCCTTCGACAAATAGTTAGCGAAACATCGTAAGTTGAATATTGAAAAAATTACCAGTTTTCTTAAATATCTCAAAAATATTAGGCAAATAAAGAAAAGTTTCAGACAAAAGTTGTTCAAACGTTTCAGACAAAAGTTGTTCAAATTAATTGGTAGAAAAAGATGATATAATAAAATTATTGGGATTTTCATTTAAGAAAAATAATTATCAAAGAATATTTCTAAAGTGGCGCCATCTATAAATAAAATAAATCGATATAATCGTTTTATGTCTCCCTTGAAACCATATAACTTTTGTCTATCGGGCTCAGTTTTCGAGATATACGGACCAACTGTTTAGTATACCGTGTACGAGTAAGTGGAATATTATTTTTATTTTGCATATTTTGTAATTTATATTACTTTAATTTTAGATTTTTCGTCCGTCATTTGTTAAAATTCTCAATTGTGAGAACAGTTGCCAATCAATTCATACGTAAAATGCTTGACAGAGCAGTAAATTTAAAGCCGGAGGAATTAGCAAAGCTGCAAGAAAAATCAAAACCATATCTGGATTTTGTTACTCAATCATAATATATACTTTATATATTATGCGTCGTTTATTCTTTTTCATATATATTTTATATATATTTTTCATATATATTTTTCATATACAGGGGGGTGATGTTGACACAGACAGCATATAAGGTATATACGGCGGTACTGACGAAGAGGTTGAGGGAGGAGGTGGAGAGGAAGAGGATTCTGCCGGAGAGTCCGGCAGGATTTAGGAGGGGAAGGGGGACAATGGACAACATATATATGCTGAATTTTTTGATAAACAGACAGGTAGAGAGGAGAGAGAGGAGGTTGGTAATATTGTTTGTGGACCTGAAGGCAGCGTTTGACTCAGTGAGATAGAGAGATATTGAGAAAAGTGATGAGGGAAAGGGAGTAAGGGAAGGATTGGTGAGAAGATGCGAGGAGGTATGAGAGGAGACAAAGAGCAGAGTGAGAGTAGAGGGGAGAAAGGGAAAAAGTTTTTGGACAAAAAGGGGAGTGAGACAAGAGTGCCCGTTGAGTCCGCTGCTATTCACGATATTAATAGCGGACATAGAGGAACAGTTAAAGAGCGGGGAATGGGGAGGGGTGAGACTGGAGGAGGGGAAGGTGTATACGTTGGCGTATGCGGATGATTTGGCGTTATTGGCGGAAGATGAGGAGGGGATGAAGGGAATGATGGCGAGGTTAGAAAAGTATATGGAAGGGAAGGGGTTGGAGATAAATATAGAAAAGACGAAAATAATGAGATGTAGGAAGAGTGGAGGGAAGTGGAGGAAGATAGATTGGAGATGGAAAGGGAAGAGAGTGGAGGAGGTGAAAGAATATAAATATCTACGGTATGTGATGACAAGAAATGGAGGACAGGAGGCGCAGGTGCGGGATAAAGTAAGGAAGGGAGCGAGGGTAATGGGGCAGGTACGGGGGATAGGGAAAAGGAAATTTAAAAAGGACTGGGGGAAGAAAATATGGCTATTTGATAAATTGGTATGGCCGGTGATAAGCTATGGGGTAGAGATTTGGGGATGTAGAGAGAGGAGGAAAATAGAGGAATTGCAGGAAAGATATTTGAGATAGGTGCTGGGCATGGAAAGATGGACGCCAGGATATATGATGAGAGAGGAAATACAGAGGAAACTGATGAGGAGCAGAGCGGGAGTAAGAGCGTGGGGGTATGAGAAGTGGCTGGGGGAAGGAAGAGGGAGAGAGATAGCAAGAAGTCGTTGGATGGAGATAAGGGGTAGGGCGAGAAGAAGAGAGGGAGTAGGGAGATGGGAGGAAGAGAGAAAAAGGTATTTTGAGGACAAAGGGTGGAAAATAGATGGGATAGAAGAGATAAGGGAAAAAGGAGGGGAGCTAAAGGGAGAGGAATTAAAGAGTAGGGAAAAAAGGAGACAGGAGAAGGAAAGATGGGAAAAGATAAGGGAATCAAGGTTTAATGAGGGATATGGAAGGGTGAAGGGAAGGGAAATTCCTGAGTATTTAAAGAAGGGATGGGGAGAAAACAGATGAAGGAGGGTAGTGAGGCTCAGGATGGGGAACGAGTTGAAAGGGGGAAGGCGCTGGGAGGAGGAAAACAGGAGGTGTAGGATATGCGGGGGAAGAGAGTAGACGTGGAAGCATATTTGGGAGCAGTGTACGAAGTGGGGGAGAAGAAAAGGGATGGCAGGAAATGGAGGGGGAGATGTTAGGGGAGATGAGAAAGGAGGAGGGGTGGATGAGGGAGGTAAAGGAATGGGGGAGAGGGGAGAAGCTGAGGGAGAGAAAGGGAGAGGTAGGAGGAGCGGCGGAAACGGAAGTCAAAGGTGTGAGTGGAGGAACGGGGAGTGAGAGAAAGGGAGAGAATGAAAGAGTGGAGGAATGAGAGTATGTGTGAGGAGCGCTTTCTCTCTCTCCCTCTCTCTCTCTCTCTCTCGAGCGGATAGCGGATAGTATGTAAGGCTAGAAATGTAAGAAGTAGAGTGTATAAGATAGGGGGAGGGAAAGGATTATAAGACCAAGGGGAAACAATAAAGCATTTATATATATTTTTCATATATATTTTATATATTTCACTTAATATAATTTTAATACTTCATTCACTAATCTACTTCAAATGTTGTGTTTTTTATTATTCTTATTCTAACTAACGATTAATTTTAATTCGTCAAATTGTTAGCTTTAATTGTTAGCTTTAAAATTGTTATCGTCGGAATAGTAACGTAAATATGTTTGGATTTTACAGTTTACAATTATTAATACAGTTTACATTTACAATTATTAATGTGACACGAGAATATAGCACTGACCAATCTATATGATTGAAATTCGTGATTGAATTTCAATTACACGCAATGTTATAGTTGCTATTTAGTCTTTAAACCAATACAATATGTTCAATATAATTGCTATAATTATAATTATGTTATAATTATAATTAAATATTAATAATTACTATAACTATAATTATAATTATGTTAAATATATCATGTAAAATATAATCCATTAGGTACAACTTTCGTCGTCGCAGCTGGGAGGAGATAAAACGGCGTATATGGGATTTGGGTGAAAATTAAATATCGATTAATTTTAAGAATGTCATATCCGAATAAATGCACATGACCAGATGTCATGCCAAATCTATGAATTATTACTCTTAGCTCTATATATAGAGCTCTACATAAAACCATGACAATATTCTTTACAGAAGTATTAAATCTCAAGATATTTAACTTTTATTCATCACTTAATTATAGATAATTTGTAAAATATGCATGCGAATAGTATATTTTTTACACGCATTTAGCTCCACATGTTTTAATAATGCAGTAACTAATTCACTGGAATGAATATTTATTCAATATATGTAAGTAATAAACAGCACTTCTATTTTGCATATAGTAAAATTTACGTTATTTTGACTTTATATTTTTTTTCTGTCGTATGTTAAAATTCTCAATCGTAAGAATAAGTGCCAATCGATAAATAAATTATTTGGAAGAACGTTAAATTTAAGTCCAAAGGAATTATCGCAGCTGTAAGAAAAATTTGTACAAAACAATTTGTCAGTCAGTGATACATCGCAAACTTATACGCAACATCTTTTTTTTTTTGGGTAACGCAGGGGAAATCCATCATAGATACCCCCGATCCTTGGGGGGTCGGAGGTTATGTCGGACTCCTACCGACTAAAACCCCTGCGGGATATCTACCTGTCGGACCGGAAATGTGGGGAGTCAGGGGAACTACTCCCGTATTCCCTTCCCGACACCCCGGCCCCAGGACTCTTTCGGGAGCCCCTCGCCATCTGTTACCGCGCCCTGTTCCGCAAAGGGAATCCAGGGCGCGGTTTCGATCTAAGACCGACCGGTTGGCCTTCTGGTTTCACCTATAGGGTGAGGGGGCATCCGCCCTCACCCTTTACTCCCCCTTCCCGTTAGTCAGGGAGGGAGGGTGCGTCAAGCCCACGATCAAGTATCTGGGCTTGACGTTGGACAGCCAGTGGAACTTTGGGCCACATTTCAGGGGCCTGGCCCCCCGGGTTCGTAAAGTAGGTACGGCTCTGGCCGGCCTCTTGCGGGCCCAGGGGGGCCCTGGATGGCGGGCTCGCCGCCTATATGTGGGTATCGTGAACTCGGTCGCCCTCTACGGGGCGCCTCGATTGCTAGCCACCGGCCGCAACAGGAACCTGTTGCGCCAGACCACGCGGCCAGTGGCAGTGAGGGCGGCCAGAGGTTACCGCACCGTATCACATATGGCGGCGACCTCCCTGGTCAGTTCTCCCCCAGTGGAGCTCCTGGCCGAGGAGAGGCACACTCTCTATTGGCGGGTCAAGGAGCTCCGGGAACGGGGGGAACTGACGACCAGGGACCTGGCGGCCCTGAGAACCCAGGCCAGAGCCCGGGTACTCGAGAAGTGGTCGGCTGAGTTGACCGACCCGCGAGTGCCCGGGCTCCAAACGGCCGAGGCTGTCCGCCCTTGTCTACCAGAAATGGTGGACAGGAGGGGGTGCGGGCTGTCCTTCCATCTGGTGCAGGTACTGACCGGACAAGGGTGTTTCGGTCGGTACCTGCACCGGATTGGAAAGGAACACACCGCCGAATGCCACCACTGCCCGGAGCCTGTGCATACGGCGCTGCACACTCTGACCTCGTGCGAGGACTGGAGTGGGCAGCGCCGGGTCCTGGCTCGGGCGGTGGGGTGCCGGGTGGAGGCTCTCTCGCTCCCGCACATGGTTCGGGCCATGTGCGGGAGCGAGGAGGCATGGGGGACGGCGGCCTCCTTCTGCAAGGACGTCATGTCCCGGAAGGAGGCCGCCGAATGGGAGCGCCGCCCTGGCCGCCCTCGCAGGAGAAGGTGGAGAGGACGGGGCTCCCCAGGTATAGGCAGCGGGCCCGAGGTGGCGCCGGCCGAGGAGGCCCCCGAGTCCTCGGGGGCGGCTCCTCGGCCGCCTCGGGCCCGACTTCGGACGCGCGGAGGAGGGGCGACAGGAGGGGGGTGAAGCCCCTCTCGCCTCCCCGAGCGTCAGTATTGGTAGGGAAGGGGAGTAAGTGCCTGTTTGGGGACGGGCCTCACTCCCCTGCCCCTCCCTTCACAGGACTTCAAGTCTGAGGGAGGGGCGTGGAGAGAGGGTGGATGTCCCCTCTCTCCGTAAAGAACCGGAAGGCCAACTCGGTCGACAACGACCAGGGTACCGCGCCTCTGACTTCTTCATGAAGAAGGGGATGCGGTGACAGGGCGTGAGGCTCTCGGTAAGAGCCCTGGGGCCGGGGTGTCGGGGAGGGAATGCTGGCGCAGTTCCCCTGAGTCCCCCCACTTTGGCCCGATCGGTAGACATCCCGTAGGGGTTTTAATCAGTAAGAGTCTGACATAACCCCCGCCTCCCCCAAGAGGCGGGGGTATCCATGATGGATTTCCCCTGCGTTATAAAAAAAAGGAAGGGAGGGTTTTTGTGGGAGTGGGCCCGTCCCCAAACGGGGCACCACTCCCCTCTGTCCCTACTTGTCCGCGGCAGGGAGCATCCATCTTCTATGAAGAAGAGCCGGATCCCCCCTGCCGACGGAGGC